ATTTAATTTATTTAATTTATTTAACTTGCTTAATTTACTTAATCTACTTAATTTATTTAACCTGCTTGATTTGCTTAATTTATTTAATCTATTTAACCTGTTAAATCTGTTATTTTTAACCGCCTATTATATAATTCTAAATCTGTTTAAAAATCTTTTTATTTTTAAATCTTTTTATAGTTTTTTAAGCTATGTCTTATTTATAAATCTAAAAATAGTCTAACTAAATAGCTAGTTAAGAATAAGAAAATAAGTTATTAAAATATTATTAATTTATTATTTATTTTATTATTCTGTTTACTGTTACCTGTACCTGCCAGCTTGTAACTTAATAGTAGATTTTTTTTTAAGTTTAATTTATAATATAAATAATTTAACTTTTTTAAATAGAAAATAAGAATATAATAGGCTATTTAAGCTGAAATAAAAAGAAGAAAAATAGAATAAAAATAATATATTTATTTTTAATAATCTAATTAATAATAAATATATAGTTTTTCGGTTATTATATAATATAATTAAAATATATAGCCCAAACCGAGCTGTAATTATATATATTTATATATATTTCTTACTATAAAAGTAATAGTTTTATAAAAAGCTGAATTTTATTAATACTACTAGGATTTTTTAATTAATTTTTTTAAATAGAGATAAAAAAGATACTAATATTTTTCTTAATTATTATTTTCTAATTTAAAAAGCTTATTTCTGTATACTTTTAAGTAATAGTTAAAATAATTAGATTAATAACTATTTAATTTAAGTATATCTTAACTGTACTAAAATCTAAATAGATATAATAGAAGAATCTTAGTATTAAAAATAATTAAGATAGTTAACTGCCTGTTTTTTAGCTATACTATAGTCAGATATAAAAATTTTCTTAACCTGGCTATAACCTGGCAGTCAGGTATAAAAATTCTAATTAACCTGACCTGACCTGGCTGTTAGCCACTCTAAGTAGATTAAATAAATTAAATAAATTAAGCAGATTAAGTAAGTTAAACAAATTAAATAGATTAAATAAATAAATCGGAAGAATTAAGACTATATTATAATATTAAATAAATAAACTAAATCTAAAGAATATTATTATACTATAATTAAAAGTATATTATACTTTATATATTATTTATATAAAAAAATATATATATATTATTAATTAATCTACGATTATTAATCTATTTATTATATTTAATTTTTCTAATCAGTAGATATAAATAGTTAAAATAATAGTTATATCTTAATCTAATTATAACTGTATAGTTAAAATTTTTTTATATCTTAATCTGACCGCCAGGTTATGGCCAGATTAAGATTAAGGTATAACAGTCAGGTTAATCCACTCTAGTTATATATAGCTAGAAATTAGTATTTTAGATTTTATCTATTTAAATAGTTTAGTTTTTCTGCTAGTTTTGGATTTGTTTTTATATATAAAGTATAGTATTGATTATATAATTAGCTTTTTTAGTAGAATTAGATAGAAAATTAATCAGCCTCTAAATATAAATATAATAAAATCTAAATTATAATAAAAATAAATATTAATAATTAATAATTTTATATAACTACTATAGCTTAGTTTTATTAATTATATATTTTTATAAACTGATCTGATTATAATAAAAGTTCTGAATATATTTATAAACAGTTTTTTAATAATTATATATACTGTTTAGTATATAAATAATATAACCATATTATTTATAATCTTAAAAACAGTATAATCTATTTAAGTAAAAAGAAATATCCGGGATTCGTTAACTAAGCTAATAGAAAAACTTAATATAATTAGAATTAAAAGTAAGATTCTATTAAATTATCTAATTCTGAACTTTTATAACTTGCTTATATAAGATCTAATAAACAGATTACTTAAAATATTAAATAATTTTTTAAGCTAAATATTATATCGGTATTACTTACAAATAATAACTAAATAAAATTTAATTTTTCTAAAAACAGGTTTTTTATAATAGATTATGGATTTAGATTAAATCAAACTAATTAAAAATTAAAATAGATTATTCTAAATTTTAAAAAAATATTTAGTAGAAGGATTTAAGAATTAATTATAACTAAAAAACTTTTAATAATAAAACCCTAAAATTTAAAATAATTATAAAATCTTTAAATATTTTTTAATTATATTATTAGTTTACTAATAGATACTTTAGTATATTTTATATTATCTATTAAATTTTTATTATCTTATTTTTTCTTTATATAATACTACTTTATATATAAAATTAATAATATTAAAATCTTCTTAGCTGCTCAGCCAGCTAATTAAATTAAAACAAAAAGTCCTATTCTAATTATATTTAATCTTTAATGGGCCAATCCTTCTAGAATAGGTTACCCTAAATTTTTTAAAAGATATTTGGTAGAAGAATTTAAGAATTAGTTACAGCTAAAAGACCCCCAACAAAAAAATCCTAAAATCTAAAATAATTATAAAATCTTTAAATATTTTCTAATTATGCTATAAGCTCAAAAATAGATACTTAGATATATTTTATATTATCTATTAAATTTTTATTATCTTATTTTTTCTCTGTATAATACTGCTTTATATATAAAATTAATAATATTAAAATCTTCTCAGCTGCTCAGCCAGCTAATTAAATTAAAGCAGAAAGCCCCGCTCTAATCATATTCAACCTTCAATGGGCCAACCCTTCTAGAATAGAGTGGTGAGAACAGCCAGGTGCGAGAACTGGACGTCCGGGGTTCATCATCTTGACGCTTGCAGGTCAGCAAAGCGGGAAAACCTTGCACCTTCATTTCTAGTGAATACGTCCAAAGTCTAATCATCATGGCTTTGTCTTATCCACGCCACCACGCGAGTACCATCGGACGAAACTGTCTCTTTGCTCTTCCAGACAAACCCTCTTATCCGAGGGAAAAGCACCCACCATCCATACCAATACGCCCAACCACTGGATAGAGCCAGGATTGCAACCGTTGGCATCAACCAGAATGGAAGACTAGTGTCACTGGTGTGCTCGCGGTTTAGGAAAGGCGACAACACAAGAAATATCTGCGTGGCGAGGAAGACAACCGCCACAGTCGTCCACACACGAAATGTCCGTTGCGGACAGGCCAGACGCTTGCGGATGATGAAGAGTCCCAGTACCACCGCCAGATATATGATCGAAAATGCGTACTGACCGACATCCAGGAGGAAGCTATATGCGTCTCCGAAGGGGACTGAGAGGATCATCACGGCGGAACCCATGAACAGTGCCAGAAAGGCACCCTTTGGAGTTGCCGACGAGGTGCTGCTTGCGAAGAAGGAAGCAAAAGGCAGAACACCCTCGCGGGCCAAAGCTTGGATAACCCGCGACATGGAGAAGGATGCGGTCAGGAGACTCCCAAAGGATGAGAGCGCGGCCACAAGGGCTGTACACCATTGCGCTGTTTCTCCCCAGACTTTCCCGACCAACAGTGCGACCACGGTGACACCCGTTTTACTGAGTTCTTCGGGGGAAGCCGCGCTAAAGTAGGCCGCATTGACTAAGATATACAGAATCCCGACCGAGCCCACACCGAGGAAACTGGCGATTTTCAGCGTGCGCCGCGGATTCTGAACCTCGTCGAGAACGTAGGCGGCATTTGACCATCCTTGATACGTGGCCAGAATCTTAAATAGTGCGGTAGTATAGTCGTAAATCCGAGTGGAAGAGCCAGCAAAAGGATGATCGAAGCTTGCGCCCGGCCGGTGGTCCTTGGGTTGGTCCGTTGAAACCACTCGTAGGCCAGTGGCGATAATCAAGACCAGCACCACTATCTTGGCAGAGGCCATAACATTCATCAGTCGCACCGCGAGAGTACTCGCCTTGATGTGCAAGACAGCGATAGTCGTCATCACTGCAATTGCAAGACCGCGTTTCATCCATTCACCTGCAGTGCCTTGCACGGCTAGCAGGAGATTCTCGGCTATCGCGATACTCCCAATGCCTGTGGCAGTCAACAACAAAGTCAGCTAGTTGAGAGAGCCGGAGACAGTAGTACCGGTGAAGCCGAGACCGATCACATGCGCGGCATAAATGGTGGTTGCTAGCAAGGGTGGACGGGGATAGGCGGCGTTCAGATAGACCTTTTCCCCACCGCTGCGAGGAAGCAAGGAGGCCAATTCCAGCCAGATCATCAGCCCACAGAGGGATAGCAGGAACCCGGCCGTCCAGAGTGCCAAAGCGGCTCCAGCACTTCTCACACTGGCAGCGATGGCCGAAGGGGTGGAAAAAATGGCCGTTCCGATCATTCGATTGGTACTGGTTCGATTCAGTCAGTGGGGGGGGCTTGTTGCCTTGTTGCCTGGTAGCCTTACATCAAGAAGGCGGTGGACCAGATCCCCAAATGGCGACGAGGGGTTGCTTCCTCCCTGGGCTCTGCACGCAATCCATCGGGATCGAAAAAATCGCCGGATGGAAGAAGCAGAGCACTTTCCGAGTCGATGACTCCAGTACGGCTGGAACTATCCATCAGGCGAGGTGGAAGGTGGGAAGGGTAATAGCCTTAGCCTGAGGTAGGTTAGAGGAGAGTGTTCAACAATGGTTGGTGTTGATGAAGGGGGAGAAACAAGAGCCAGCGGCCAACCTGACCACCTGACCGCCTGGGCAGTATCCACTTTGCCCAGCCTGCAAACCATGCAAATGGTGCAAACGCTGCAACTGCCTCCCTATCTCAAGTGCATTCATTACTATAGTGTTGCCTGGTGGCCTGGTTAGACAGGACTGACAGAGGCGCTTTGCATCTCATAATATGTGACACATTCCACATGTAGATCAATCACCACTCTCACTCATGGTAGTCACGATAATCTATGTGCACTACCGGTTACATCCAGTATGTGCCTCATCTCTACGTCATCATGCTTGGCATGCGTTGATGTATAATCTATCTACCTTCCCTCCTTGGGTTGTTCGACTCCCCTCTGAGCACAGCAGTCAATTCCGCCAGGTTTCGTCGACCCCGAGGAGAGCAGAACAATGTCAGATATTGCAAATCACAGTGTATGCTATCTGATCCCCTTGGAAATGGGCATAGCTAAAAGTGCCCCAGGTCCACCTCCCCGATCGTCTATTAGAGGAGATCAAGATAAAACTGCAATACGCTCGGCTAGATGAGGGCATGGCAGAGGTGGAGTGGAATGACCTTGAGATAGGACATGCCAATTTCAAAAGACTGGTGGAATACTGGCGCGATGAGTACGACTGGCGCAAGTTCGAGGCCTATGTCAACAACTCCTTTCACCACTTTCTGACTCCCCTCCCAGTAAGTGGGTTTGAGGATATTAACCTTCATTTTCTTCACCATCGATCTTCAAGACCCGGGGCTATACCATTGATCTTTGTCCACGGCTGGTGGGTTCAACTTCTATGAGGGATCCTAGCGTTCCGAACTAACATGCACCACACAGGCCTGGGTCCTTTCTAGAAGCCTGCAAAATTATTCTATTGTTGACCGAGCTAAAGGAGGGCTAGCAGGCATTTCATGTGGTGGCGCCGTCGCTGCCCGGGTACGGTTTCAGCTCTTACACGAAGAAGAGCGGTTTCGGTCTCGAGCAACACGCAGAATGTCTAGCCCGCTTGATGAAAAAACTTGGATACCACCAATATGTGTGCCAGGTACGTATCGTGGAGTCGGTAGTTCTTAGATATGGAAATTTCTGAGGCATGCAGGGGGGTGATTGGGGCTCATCGATTGTGCGCTACATGGCGCTGAACCACTCCAACGCAGTGCGGGCCATCCACATCAATATGTTGCTGGCCTTGCCCCCGGATGAGCATAAGTCACCGGAAAAGTACGCCAGATACAGCCGAAATGAGTATAGCGAGCAAGAAATCTGCAACTTGGAGCGGACACATTGGTTTTCGACCGAAGAGGTGAGATCCGATCATCCTGTATTCCACAGAACCTGTCTACTCATTCAGATTTGACCAGAGAGGCTATCAACGCATCCAAGAGACTAAGCCAGTCACACTGGGATATGCCTTGCATGATTCACCGGTGGCTATTCTGGCCTGGTTTGTCGGCAAGCTGAGCGCATGGACGGATGAGTATCCTTGGACACCCGACGAGCTCATCCACTGGTCACTCATTCACTATCAGGGAAGTCCCAGTGCGGCCATGCAGATCTATAAAGAGGCGTCTGCTGTGTTGAACGCGAGCCCGGATAGTATGCTCGGCCAATATATTTGTCAGCCTGTCGGCGCCTCTGTCTTTCCCAAGGAGGTGAGCCGCTCCCCCTCTTGTAGATCGATGTAATGGGTGACTGACATGATGGTGTATAGCTGTGGGTTGCACCACGAGACTGGGTGGAGGAAGCGTGCAACGTCCAATTCTGGAGACATCACAGACGTGGTGGTCATTTTGCTGCCTGGGAATGTCCCCAGGCGCTGGTGGACGACGTAGCGGAATTCTACCGAGAGGACGGACCGGTATTCGGTGGTAGAAGAAAGTCGCCCATCACCTAGATTGCAATAATTCCAAGGAACATGCATGGCCATCTTCATTGATTGCCCAATCCATACTTCTTTCGAAGCCCGGGCTGAGATTAATCTGCGTCTTCGCGGCTCGGTCGCTAGAACTATGGTCTGACTCGTACAGGTTCCGAACTTCAAACCCTTTGTATGATTCCCTGTCGAGAAAGTGCATTACACGCCAGTATAGGTAGAAGGGGCACAAATGTGGACCACCCTCTAATTGGTCGAATCAGCATCCTCTAATCGATCCTGCCGTCATCGAACTGCGCGTCTTCTGCTCCGCGCATAAGCACGTCAAAGAAGGCAGTATCAAAACCTTGGAAGACCCAATCGTCGATGCTGGCGGCCGCATCCGGGAACATGTGATCTTTCTCCGTTACCTCATCGGGGATTCTTCCGGGCAAAAGCTGCGTAGTATGTTGTTGCGGCAAAGAATCACTTGGGGCCTGTGTTCTAGCTCCTTGTGGTGGGACATATGACGTGCTATTGACTGAAGATTGGCCAGGAACCGTGGAAGGTTCAATTTGAATCGACCCAATGCCTCCAATCGTGACTCCTGCGTGATGGCCTTGATCTTGCCCTGTTTTGGAATATGGCACAGATGTGATGCCTTCAGGTGCAATTCTGATCGCACCGAGATATGGCACTCTGATGACTAACGCGTTAGGATTATCGGTCGGCTGATATTCCGACGACTGTGTCTCGCCTGCGTCGGTCTTGTATCCTCGTGCTGCCCTGGCTTCAATGAACAACAGATCCTTCAGCAAAGCAGCACATTCTGCGGCGAGGACATCCTCGTGTAACTCTGACATGGACTGCATGCATTCTAGAGCCCGCTCCACGGTGGCCCTATCGCTCGATCGCTGGTGTGCGAGCAGCCTATTGACCTCCGTCTGGCCATGACTTGCGAGGTGTGCGAGGATCAAAGTCATTCCAGCAATCAGCGCCATGAAGTCGCCTATCCGACAACAGGCGGTTATTGGGTTGAGGGTACGGATTGCTATCTCGCGAGTCAATATCTCGCGGCTAGCATTCGCACACGCGATTCCCGAGTAAACCACATCGGCGGTTTGGCTCTGGCACAACATGTACGGTAAATGAAGTTGGTTGACCACGGTATAGTAACACATGTGGTCCCATGCTCGCCGGGTTTCGCAAAATGCCTCCACTGAATCGACTTCTAGACCTGCGAAAGCAAGTGGCTGCCAGAACGAGGAGGGCAATTGCTCGGTCATCCTAATGAGTTCTCGATCGATGTCCCGCGTCATTCCCTGAGCCTGTTGGGGGACTCTGACCTGATTTCGTTCCAGAATCCTGACTGTGATCTGCATGATTAGTGATGACAGATTGCCACTCGTCTGCGAAGAATTCTTGCTTCCTGACGTTGTGGGGCTTGTCCCGACAGTACTCGTGGGTAGGCCCAACAGCAAGGACAAGACACGCTCCACGGAGATGATACAAATCCACATGACATTGGGGTCGAGGTCGTTCTTGTCGTTGGTCTTCTTGAAGCGATAATGACCGGGTTGATGCAACCCCAAGAGTTGCGCCGTGTTGGCAGCACGACGGATTGCTAACCAGGCACGCCGAATGTTTCCGCTGTCTATATGAAAGAATCCCTCTAGAATGATGTTTTCCAGACCTTCCAATGTACCCATCAAGCGGTCATTAGTAGTAACCATGGCAATGGCCGACTCCGCGAGTTCCTCCATGATGACATGGTGATGTTGATCAAGACCCGAGATAACCTCAGTGGGAGAAATATGCTGCAATGCTGCTGCTAGAAGTAGCATTTGCCTTGCTAGCAAGACCGGATGGGCTTCTGGGTGTTGTAAGCTGGGAATTACAATTTGTTCCAGTGGCAGGTTTTGGAGCGACGAGCTTTTTAATTTGAAGCCGGACTGATAGCACAAAGTGGAAAGTCTCGAGACCTTTCCTAGCAGAATCTCGACCTCTCTTGAAGAGGGAAGCGCACGCAGAAGAGCTTGGGTAATCTTTGAATGTCTTGTAGTCTGTGTGGCAGTTCTCGCGTGATCGGAGTGTGGTGATAGGCCCGGGGTTAGGACCAGGTCTGGCGATTGCAGAGCAAATTGACTGACACAATTGGTGCCCCGGCGGCCGCATGAGATACAGCTATCATCGTCCGGGGCAGCAAAAGTGCATTTGACTTTTCTTCGACGGCACTCTCGGCAACAGTGAGTTCCTTTCCGCACCTTCCTCCGCTTTGCTGCACTTTCGTCCAAAGCCGCACTCATTCTGGCAGTCGTTATAGTTAGAGAAGGAATGTGTTGAGAAGGAGAGGAGAGGAGGAGAGAGCGAGAGATAACGAGGGTTCGGCCGAAGTGGCTGACTCATCACCCCCGCCCCTGCGAGTTCGGCCGAATCGGTCTTGATATTATATGGTTAGATGGTCTATATGACAGATATGATACACTCATAGTAAGCGAAGTCGTGCGACAAGACCCTCGGTCCGAATGCAGTCCGCAGATTCCAACGGCAATGGTATCGGAATAGCATCGCTGCTCCGCATGTATGCATAATCAAATCCCGTCCCCGAGAGTTATAGCAGTCGTTCCCCATGAAACTAGGGGTAGTTTCAAGCCGTATAATCTCCTCACTGGACACGCCCTACTTTAAAAGACACGATGAGAGGTTACGGGATCAACTGTAGGAATTTCTGCATTCCTAAGGGGGTGCTCGTGTTCGGCCGACGCGGCTGACAAACGGTGGATTTAGAGAGATTCGGACGAGGTATCTGCTTACCGAAGCCAAATTAGGTCATATAGCAGGGAGACTACATTCACATAAATCTCGTGGGTTTTGTCTTGGTGCGTAAGCTAAGTCCAATTTCCACACAAGCATCACGATGACAGAGCGCACACCTTTCGCACCACAAAAGCCAACGGGCACCCAAGACTCTTCACCGGGGTCGAACACGACAGTGGCATCACTCTCTACACCCAGTGCCACCAAATTCCAAGCCATCGACGCGCAAGCCCCGGTCAATGAGGGCTACCCGCACGGTACTCGCTTGGCTGCCATTGTTCTCTCACTCCTGCTGGCCATGTTTCTGGTGTCTCTTGATAACGTGCGTTGACAGGCCTCATGACGCAGGGCAGAGCTAATTGAGATTGGTGCTAGACCATTCTTGGAACTGCTATCCCTAAAATCACCGATCAATTCCATGGCCTGAACAAGGTTTCATGGTACGGAGCGGTATACTTCATGACCTTTGGCGGTGGTGTGTGATGACGGTGCGAGTTGCCCACGCCAAGCTGACAGTCCGCAGAGACCATGAACTTTTTCTTGATCTATAGACCGTTCTCAAGGATTGGTCGCAACATTTTGACGCACTTTGACGGCTAATACTTTCAAGGGTTCCAATCGACCTGGGGAAAGGTCTATAAGTTCCTTCCCATCAAACTTTGGTCCCTTATCGGCTTGTTCATTTTTGAGCTGGGAAGCCTCCTTTGTGGAGTCGCCCCAGATCCCACAGCTCTGATAGTGGGCCGGGCAATTGCAGGGTTGGGCGGAGCTGGGGTGACGGTGGGAATCTTCAGCATACTTGGATTTGCCGCCCCTCCTGAAAAGCGTCCGCAGTTATTAGGGTATACCGGCGCCACATACGGAATCGCTGCGGTTCTCAGTCCCCTTATCGGAGGCGCCTTTACCGATCAGGTGACATGGCGCTGGGTAGGGTCATGAATCTTGCCTCCAGTTTCCCTTCTGATTGCTGACCCCGTTCTAGTGCTTCTACGTTAACCTACCCATTGGGGGGTTTGCGGCGGTGATTATCCTCGTATTCTTCCAGGCCCCGGCCAATGCAATGCCCGCGCGAGCCACTCTGCGCGAAAAGTTGTTGCACATGGACTTTGTCGGTGCCGTTCTCGTGATGGGGTTGATCATCTCATATATCTTAGCACTGCAGTATGGTGGTCAAACACATTCCTGGAAGAGTAGCGTCGTGGTCGGCTTGCTGGTCGGTTTCGTTCTCATTCTGGGGGTCTTCGTCGCATGGGAAATCTACCAAAGAGAGCATGGAATGATAGTTCCGCGACTGGTAAGTCACAGTCCAGATGCGTCGTGGCTTGCAGGTGATCTAATTGCCGGGGTGGGGGTAGTTCATGCAACGCTACATCTTTGTCGGTTCCATCTTCATGTTCTTTTTCGGTGGCGCGTACTTCACAGTCTTGTATTATCTCCCCATCTACTTCCAAAGTGTCTACAACAGTAGTCCCATCGGATCCGGGGTCAAGATGCTTGCCCTCATCATTCCCTTGACGATTGCCGCCATTGTCCAAGGGGTTGCACTATCCAAGATCGGCATCGTGCCTTTATTCTGGGTGATTGGCGGCGCGATAGGAACCATCGGGTGCGGGCTCTTTTATACCATGGGCACCCACACTTCGACTGGCCAGTGGATTGGGTATCAGATCCTGGTGGGATTTCCGATTGGGTGGACATTTCAGGTCGCTCTTTCCAACGCACAGGTCCATGCGGCACCCGAGGACATGTCGCAAGTGGCGTCTATTGTGAATTGTAAGTCATCTCCTTTCTTCACGCGACAATGTCTATCGAGAACGGTCGGCTGATTCCCACCGGTAGTCTTCGTGACCATCGGCGGGTCTTTCTTCCTGTCCGCCGCACAATCCGCTTTATTTCTACAACAGACATACCCTTTCGATAAGATAAACATTGCATTCTCAGATATTATTTGGCTCTGACATGGAATCAGTTACATTGCGAGACCCATATATCACGCTGTCTGTGTCACGGGGTATTCAATTTTATCAGTAGAGCAACGAGCGGGCTCGCATTCAGGCGATGAAAGATGGATTGGCCGCCAGACCAACGCAGTAGTCTGAGCAATCGCCTGCTCAATGGCATCCACCAACTTGTCCACCTGCAGTCGGAGGGAGCAGGGGGCTCCGTCACACTGGTGGCTACAGTTGTTCTTCATTTGCAAGATGCGCCTCTCGATCTCAGCTACTGAGAAATTTTCGAAAGGGCCCAGTGATGGCCAGAGCCCGCAGTCTCTTAGCTCTTTGAAGTAGTGTGTTACTCGTAAAGCTCGTGTACACTCTCTCTCCAACCGTTCGGCAGGGCAATTGGTTCAAAACATCTTACCCGCCGGGTAAGTGCTATCGCACCGTGTGCATAAGTTGTTATTCAGTGTGAAGGATCTCCGACAACTAGCAAGCACTACCTCGCCCTCTTGAAGTTGTTCGTGGATGGCCCGTAGCTGTTGGTGTATGTGGTGGTCTAGATTACATTTTACCTCTCAGATTATCTGCCATTGTCTTGGTGTGGAGAACCTACTACAAACACTTGACGGAAGCAGATCCAGAAGGTCTGCCTCCTCCCAGATGTCGGAAAACCGGGGAGGAAAGTAAATTTGAGCCTGGATATAAAGTATGGCATAATGGTCTTCGCAATGAAAGAGATACGTAGCGAGAAGAAGATAGCCATGATCCTCTGGCGTCTCCATATGAGAAAACCCGCCAAGCCAGTTCAAGATCCAAGGCCGGAGAGCACTGTTGCAGTCGAACTTGTCAGAAAGAACAGCGATGACGGCCAGCTGCTTCGCACTCCTAGAATCCCCAACTTCAGACCCTTAGAGATGAAGAGCTTGTAGAATCGTCCTCATCGCGCCCGGGCTATCCTCAGGTAGAGTTAGGGTCGGACGAGTCGAATTCTTCATCTGGTTCCCCTCGCGGAACCCCGATGTAAAGAGTTTTGCAAAGACGGGCGAGGCGAGAATCAGGATTTTTGATGAGACCAGGAATCGGCCCGAAGCTGCACCGGTGATCAGTAGTACCGCGTCCCCATCTGGATCCAGGGTCTCGAGGGGACACTCCCTGGCTGGAGATGGAGCACATTTTGAGATCTCGTCTGGCATGATGTATTATTGCGAGTGCCACGTGTATGCAGAGAACTGATGGTGATGGAAGTTGGACGAGAAATTGCAGGGCAGTGAGACCCTAGAGATGGCCTGATTTGACCTCATTTGGATACTTCCGGACATACCTCATCATGATCGGATGCAGTGTATAACGGAGCCAAAGGCCGGAAATCATGCATTTGCCCCGAACCCTTCACCGAATCGGCGGGTTGAGAAGCTTCGAGACAGTGCTGCTAAATTTTGCTGTGCGATGATCCGAGCCAGCCATGAAATAGGCATGCCGATGGGTGCTGGTAGTTGTTTACAAGGCAATTGTCGGCTTTCGCCGCCGGGCTGCCACATGATGCGATCACCCAATCATATGATAGCCCTGAATCCCTTCTTGTACTATTCTAGCCTCGTGTGTATATTTTCTGGGAAACCACAATAATTGAATAGTTCTTGCATTGGGGTAACATATTTTCTAATGATGCACCCGGCTGTTCCTCAGACCGGCGCCAAGTTATAGATCTTCTTGATGTCCCGCAGCGTCTCCTCAAAGTCAATCTCCAAGTCTCGGAGCAGGCCGGTCTCCATGTCAAAGATCCAGCCATGCACGACGGGGAACTGGTGCTCGTGGAAGCTCTGCTGCACGGCGGCAGTCTTGATGATATTGCGGCACGACTCGACGACATTCAACTCGATGAGGCGCTTGTAGCGGGCGGTCTCATCCTTGATTTCATCCAGCTCGCGCTCGTGCAGACGGTAGACATCCCTTATGTTGCGTAACCAAGGGTTGAGCAGGCCCAGGTCGGAGGGGCTCATGGCGGCCTTGACGCCGCCGCACTGGTAGTGGCCGCAGACGACAATGTGTTTGACGTGGAGGTGACGAACGGCGTAGTTGATGACGGACATGACGTTGAGATCGGTGTTGGGGACCAGGTTGGCAATGTTGCGGTGAACAAACACCTCCCCGGCCTCCAACCCCATGATCTCATTGGCGGGAACGCGACTGTCACTGCAGCCAATATATCTAGAAACCGGGAGGGGGTCCACAAGGTCAGTCTCCATGCTACTACCACCGTCCCTCAAACAGCTAGTCGGTCTGTCTCTTACAAATATTCGGGGGTCTGGCCAGCGTTGAGTTTCTCGAAGAAAGCGGGATCTTCCTGCTTCTTGGCGGCCACCCACGCCCGGTTGTTCTCAAACACCCGCTCATGGGAGTGTTTGAGATACTCGGGGACCGATTCTTGGGGGGTGTCTTTGGAAGAGCACATTGTTGTGATGATGTGATGTTAATTGCGACTGGGACTGCTGGGGGGGGGAACCAGGAGGAGGAGGGGAAAGAGAGGAACTGCCACGTGTGTTCCGTTCCGTGTGTGCCCCGCCCGCTGAACTACGGCTGCCCATTCCACCCTGCCACGCAGTTCCTGCCTTATCTTTATCATCATCATTATCATCAGCAGCAGCAGCAGCAGCAGCAGCTCTTATTAGTTCGCTCTATTGGGTATCATTTCTCTATCCAACAACAATCTAACACCAACTTCAACAACCAGCCTCCGTAATCTGGTATCCCGTTTTCGATGCGCGGTCATACACCACCCCAAAGACCTGCACATCGTGGTCATGTGCTTGACTCAACGACTGCACCTGGCCTAGGATGTTCAATTCGACCATGGCTCGGTCCCGTTCCTGACCACTGGTTTGGTCGAGTGCGTGGTTGTGCGCCGAACGAACCATGTCAAGGGTTCTGCTCCAAGGCTCCGGAACGCAAGGGTTGGGCTTCCCCTGAACAATGTGACAGCCGTAATGCCCGCATACGACAATATCCCGGATCTGCCACCCAATTGTTAGCCGCGTGAAGCGAAACGCCGATTCCCTCCCACTGACCTTGAGTAGCTCCAATGCATAGCCCAGCGTGGTCTGACACGAAAGGTCGTCGATCACCATATTCCCCAGATTGCGATACTCCAAGACCTGATCGGCCTGGAGACCCAGGGTCTCCAGCTCATCGTAATCACTATCCGAGCAGCCAATCCACAGCACCTGCTTGCCCGGGGCTCGCTGCCAGGGCATTGAGTTCGATTGCACCTGACGAAGCTCGTAGCGGGTGCGGACCTGGTCTGTCATGGTGTGAAGTGGTGCGGCGCGGGAGGGCACGAATTGGGGTCGAAGAAGTCGAGGGAAAGCCGCGGGACGAGAGCAGAACATCAGTAGAAATGTGTGCGAAAGATGTTTGATGCGGTGAGGTTGAAATGCTTGATGATCAAGAATGGTTCTTATACAGCTGGACATAGAGAGAGGTTGCCCCAGTACTCCCGTCGGGCAATGACTTGAAACACGCGCAACTATAAACGGATCGATCATCGATTGTCAACTTGGAAGACCAAGTGGACTCGGCCGAAGCGGAGATATCTCGGTGGGCTCAAATCCCGGCCGTTATTTGATCGACCCTCCGCATGACAATACAATAATATGCAGGCAATTTCCGAGCTTCTCTCCATTTCCTCGTGTGTTATCGGCCGAAGGGTTGGCCATCATAGGAGCGGAGCGGGCTGAACTCCATACCGAACAGTATGTTTGCCCCTGATCCAGACAATCTTTCGTCACAATTCTCGGGCCCGATCTCAGCACATTCGTTACTCGGCCGTACCCTCTCCGTCCGTGGCCAGATGAGTTATGCCGAAATTCAGCACTACGGACAATCCACAAGAACCCTCTGGATGGTTGACCTATAGTCTCCTGAACCATGACTCCCATACTCTGGCCTTCAATGACTATATTTGACTAGCCGGGGGCGAGTCTTGACGCGAGGCAGCGACAAAAGTCGATACTCCCGGGTTCGTCGAGGTACGTACTATGTACTATGTAGAAGAAGGCTCGGAGCGAAGGCCGAAGGAGGGCGGGTGGGGCTGAAGAAGAAAATGAATCAATACAGAAGAATGCAGGGGCCGAGAGTTCGGCCGGGACTGGAGCCATGGATTTATCGATCCATGGATCCGCCCCCCCCTCCCGGTGGGTCAAGCAATCGCTTGAAGATTGATATCGTCCTTCTTACTGAGGGATCTGACACCGTTGTCGTCCACGCCAGTAATAAAGAGAAATGACGAAATACTTTCCTCTGCCATAGTATATAATGCTCATAAGTCAGAAACAGACCTAAATGAACATAGTTGATTCACATCCAAACACAGAATACGAACAACACTGACGATGGTATGCAATTTGACTCGGTGCTCAAATATGCCAGCCAGTTACCATCCGAGTTGTGAGAGAGAGCAGGCTCAATAACCCCGGTCGCATCTGAAGAAAGACCTGCCACTCCCACAGTCCAGGCGATAGGAAATTCCTAAGTGCATTCAACAAAGCCGCTGCTACTGCTGGCTCCAGTGTGAGTGATCACCCCCGCCAACTTGTCCGCTGTATTGAAGATAACCCGATCGGCCCCAGGAGATCCCCCGTCATAGACGTCGCCATCACTCAGAATCGGGAACTCATAGTAGGTCCCCGAGACACTAAAGTCGAAGCCCTCATAGTCATGGTAGACATGCGGGTAGTCGTTGAGGGTTTCACCCGACTTGTACAGCGAGTAGCCTTCCGCCTGCGCCGCACTCACCGCACTGGAGGTGTAGCAGTGGCTTCCACAAGTATAGGCACAGCTGGCACGCTCGACCTTCTCCTTCGGGAAGGGGGAGGCCAGTGCGGCGGAGAGGAGGAGAGGGAGGCACGCGAGTGCGGTCTATTCGGCTTGAGTCAGTATGTCCACATCACCCACGTCGAGTGTCAATCGAAAGGTAATGTCTCCCACCTGCAACTGAAACATCATGTCTGGCTGGCCTGCCGGATCGCTCGCTGATCTGGGGAGGAGGGAGGAGGGATGTCACTGCAAGTGTGAGGCTGATATCTCTTTACCCCTAGCAATCACAGACTATTTATGTCGTCGTCGGCGCCGTCTTCATCGTAGTCGTTGCCGTCCATACTCTTCGTTCTCCTCATCGGCCATCTCCTATCACCGACCTGCAAGACAAGCAACCAGCATTTCGACTAAAGTGGGTGATAAGATAAACCCCATGCCAAGAAGGGGCCAAGACCAGCCAAGGCGGGCACGTTGTCGAATCCGCAAGCATGAAGAGTTCTCTCACACCAATCCAAATTGATATAGATTGATATAGATTGATATAGATTGGGTGCCTGTGAATCTTCACCGCGTCCGGTCCTCGCGGCAGTCCCCGTCAGCCTGACACTCCGCCGGAGATCCTTCCCTGCACCCAATCGACGATAACGACCCAAGCATGTGACGGTGTGCTGGCAGATGTGATGATTCAGCCGGCTGGAGGAGCATGCAGCCTAAGTGCGACCTCGCCGTATCAGGGCCTATACCTGAGCACGTGGTTGAGCTCCAGCACCGGTCCTTACAGATATTCGGCTTTATCTATGAAGTACAATATGAGGCATTGTGCACTGGTGTGATGGACTGCCAACTGGTATGTTGGCCGGGGCACAAGATAAGGAGGTACTGACTCACGTAGATCATCAATCATCCAGGGCCTTACAAACATGAAGTGGAAAATTGCGGCCAAAGTGTGTTCTCTTCCACTGTTTTCCATTGAGCCTCAAGCTGAGCAACGCGCGCCGTCTCGTCCACTTGAACCGAAATCATGCCCAGGGCCCGGTTGAACTGCGAAGCTCCAGTAACTCTTGGTGACGTCGCGTATTGAAACCCTACCATCGAATTTTGAGACAGATTGTCACCGAGACCTACTGGGCGCGACGCCCCCCGACCAGGTTGTGCGCGCGTTGCAGCATGATTGATGACATTATCATTGTCTGTTGCTGCTGCTGCAGTCGCATCTACGCCAAGGCCAGGATCTATTGCATTACCGGCACAGTTTGCGTGTAGATCGCCGCTCGACGCTTAGCGAATGCAATAAGCTCCGCTACATCACCTCTAGCATAGACCACGGTCTACAGGTTTCACATTCGGGGCGAGTATATATCGCAGCAAGCGGAGGGGAGGATCAAATCTACTGACGAATTGAAGTTGTCGAGGGTTGATGAGGTTACTTCATAATACCAGCAAAACACTGGGCACAGATATTGGCTGGTTGATGCCGTTCATGTTGTAGGTAGCAGTAGACTCTACTTTGAGGGTGGCGGAAAAGCACTGCCTGGACATCAACCCATTCACTACGGAATACTTCGTGCTGTCAGCCGAGCTTCGAAGACGAGACGTATCTATGTCTTATTGCCACCGTTGAGAGATTTGTTGAAAGCATTTGTGGTGACAGGTGGGCTGGATGTGCGCATAAGTCGGCATAAATTACATAAGCATCCCCACAATGCCGCTTATGCAGTTTCGGGCTTAGCTCGAATACTATCCTTGATCCAACCATAATGGTTCACAACTTGGGAAAAAAAGGGAAGTGGCAAAAGGACAGTAGGCGCTTGGGACTCCGACTCATGTTAGGATTATTCGGCTCACAGTGGTTGTGAATGGACTTTCCAGCAGATCTACCTTCGCGCGCCCTATGTTGTGCCGCGATATGAATCCAAAATCTCTCACTGCTTGCTGACCAACCTGGCTCTTCAAGATGTTGTGCATGTCTTCCAAACAACATAGTATGCACCAAACGTGCCCAAGAGTCCTCAGTATGAGGGAAATTGAGATAGGTTCATGCCGTATCGACAGTCGATTCTCTCGTATTGCATCCTTGGTAACATCGATGAATCCTCGGCAATCGACTTATCTTCGCCACTGAAATTGCCAAATCCGGCCAGCTCGAAGGCAACCAGGGAAAAAATGCCATTCCCCAACAATACATTGACGAAACGAGCTAGAGCTTCCTCGTATAATGAAGCTCGCATGATGTCAGTCAGTGTCAGCCTTTGCTGTACAATGCTCGAAAGGTATAAAAACCCAGGGACTTCACTCTTCCGAAAGCCAACCGAAGTACCTGCCCGATTACTCACCCTGCATCCGATGAAGGCTTCACCATCTGCTGGGTAACTCCTCCAAGATATATTGTGACCACAACCACACTATCGCAACCTTGGCCAGTGATCCTTAACAATGAAACTGACGACCCTGGCTATCACATTCCTTCTAGGCACATCCACCACTGCTGCCGCCTGGGAGCTTCGCGCCAACGGTCAGAAATGGACGGGCACCAACCCTCAGCGCTGCACCGCTGTCAACATTCCCAAGGGCGCGAAAATTAGCTGGTCGGGATCATCGGGCGCTCGGACACTGCAAGTGTACAACATGAAAGGAAGTTGTTCGCGGGTATATCGAACCGTGCAAGGGGTGGGTGATATCAATGCCTCGAACAACATTTACGGATTTGTGGTGAAGGCTTGATGGAAAAGATGCAACCAAGTGTTAGAGCATTGTATCAAGTTCATTGGATATGAGTAGGAGCTATTTGGTAATGGAAATTGTAGCACAATTGTCAACAGCCCCAGGCGAAGGCACAGAGCAATAACGAAACATGGAGGTGCAATAAATTGAATAGATGCCATGGAAACCCTTATCGAGGCTTTCCTAGTACAAATACAGGCACAACCGCGGCACCACACTGCCTCTGGAAAAGGCTCGTGCGGACTGCGAAATCTGGGGCTGATTATGCCAGCAAGTCATTCTACTCGGTGGTGATTGCCTCAATCGGACTCAAGAGAACACATCCAGCTTCTTTTCCTTGTGGAGAAAGATAATGCAGTAGATCTGCTGTGAGGGCGAAATGTCTGACCATGCGCTCGTCACGTTCTTTAATCTCAGAAGGTCAACCTTTTGGGGCTTTTCTTTCGTGACCCAGTCATTATATTGCCTGTTGTCATTGTCGGCATTGTAAGCGTTGAGTATGATCTGCATCGGTCTGGAGGTCTCTGGACCCTGAAGTAGGTTTGTTGCCTTATCGATGAGCTCTCTTTCCGTGAGCTTTGTGTTGTCTGGAGTGCTTCCATGCTCCTGGTCTGGGTACTCCACCTTGTGCGCCATGTTAGGATCGATACCGTCGATCACGCTGACCAGGGACACTGTGTGTGATTGATGTATTAATTCAGTCACTGGGATTAGACCAGGTGTCGTCGAGAAAAGCTTGCAGTTGCAATCTAAAACTCACCTCGGTGATTCTCCAATAACGACAGTCTTTTACGGTCGCTGCCCATGCTGAAGGGCTGAAGAGACTCTTTAGCTTCGTTTGCCATCGGAGAGGGTCAAGAGCTCGGGCTTACTTTACTTTGAGCAAAGCACTGTATCTCCCCCGCGGGCCTCCCAAGTCAAGGCAGCATTCCCGACCGTCTGACCCTGGCTAGAGGTCTTTGTCTCACTAGTAGTGTTCGCATAATTCATGCCAAAGCTCACTTGCGGCGCTGCGAAACTGAGCCCAGCAGCCTTGCGAGTCTCTTCCTTGGCTGCATCAAGTTGCTCAGTAGTCTTGACTTTGACATCCCTGCTGCTACGGAGAAACCCGCCCAGGATGACCTTGCTGGGGAACGCATCACCTGTGACCCAAGCGCCTGCATATTTCGAGCCGCCGGAAAGGTGACCAGAGGGAATGGCTTACCGTAGTCATTTATGAACTTGATTTTGTCGTTCTCACTGTGAATGTTGTTGATGGCTTTCACGCACTCATCGGACAGCTGCAGGTACTCGGAGGATAGATCTAATGCCACGCGGGGAAACTATGACAATATCAGTGTATTAGACAACGTGGCTCTTGTGCAAGCAAACCGCTTACCTTGTAGGCCACTTTTGAAGTGGAATCTGTCTCTTGATCCAATTTCTCTTTTTTATAGGAGTTCTCCTCCGTCAGAGCAGCAGATGCTGAAAGCGATTTGCCGAAAGGGAGTCCGCTCCTAAACAGGGGGTGAAAGACGTCAGCACTGTGATACCAGATGGGACTCCACACATACGCATTGGCCTCGATGGCAGTGGAAGTAAACCCTTCTCTAGCCATGGACCGTTGGAAGGCAGTCCTCGTCTCCGTAACCGTGACCTTGGAGTCATCATCCACGTAGAAAGAGGGAACACCAGGAACAGTGTTCTGGGGAGGTTTCTTGTCAGTAAACAGCACGCCGGTATCGTCTTAAAGTTCTACGTACCAAGTATTCCTTCACAAAATCCTTCTTCGCTCCGTTGGTCTTGGCGGGAGCCTGAGAGCTTCCCGTCGCACTTCCCTGTGGCGAAGGAGTGGCTGGGACTTTCGCTACCTCGCCGAGCTGGGGAGAGGGTGCCCCCGCTGGACGACGAATCGCGAAGGCTATTTCTGTTAGTGGATACCTACCCTCTACTACGACAACCAACCACGGTGTAAGCGGAGGGCTGATATACCTCGCTTTGGGGTCTTGGCCAGGAGTCCAGTCCCGGGAACATGCGTGTAACCATGGAGAATCCGGTTGTTGATCAAGATATTCTCTTATTGCATTTCCGTAACATCGGCAGGTTCGGTGTAATCTTTGGTACTATGTTGTTTTGGAACCAGTCAGTGGTCATACGCCTGCATGCTAGCGATGATCTCATCTGAACCAGCCTAGGTGACGTTGCATAGCTCTGCTCCAGGGATGACAGCTTGCCCATCATTTCCGCGTTCTTTCCGAGCTGACCAGTATTCAATCCTGAGCCCGAGGCCCCGAGTAAGCCTTCGAGATCAGATGCTAAATTGGATTGGGGTAAATTCTCTCGTGGTTCCTTGGCCAACACCGTGGACACGAGATCGACTATGACAAAAGGAACGCCCTTTATCTGCGGCTTATTCTCGATGTCAGAGGCCGCAGTTACCTCTGCATTCTCTCTCGGCTGCGCTTCGGGATACAGAGTTGCAAGATTCTAAGAGAGTGATGAGCTTGCCGAGCGACAGGAGAGGAACTGGCCAACTGGAACAGCAGACATAAAGATGTGACAGATATTCAAACATGTCAGACCACGCTCAAAGTGTTGAGGTCCCAGATTGATGACTTGGTGGTGAGGGTTCAGAAAGCAATTGAAGGCATACAGACCATCCAAGACACCTTTCGCCATTTGGGAGAGACGCTTGAGCCAGTCATCAAGGCCATCGACAAGATTGAAAGGGGCACCAGCTCTCCATTGTTGGCTATCGGAGAATCCAATATTAGCCATGGTATCAAAGAAGCTGTGGCCAAATATGACGAGGTACGTGTTGTTTGAACCATGGACCTGAACTAAGTCGTCTTGCCTGAACTTGCATCACGGGTTCTTGATGGTTTGACAGGGCTAACGGAAACACTTTCAGAATATCAAACAGGTCGAAGACTTTGCGAAAGCAGCTCAGATCAAGGTACTTGAGGAGTAGACATGTTCTTCCTCTGGGGTTACACATATCGCTCTGCGGCCCTTTCTTCCGACAATCTATCATACTGAATCCTCAGATCATCCTGTCGCTTTCTGGAATATGCACTCTGCCTTACACCTGTACTGTGTCGCTGTGACTCTACGAAATCTTCATTGAATGTTCATTGCTTCAAAGAAGGACTACAAGGATAGAGCGAAACATTGATAGTAGTTTATATCACAGTGGCGGGATTTCCACATATATTGGAATATTAAAGGCTACCTCACTGAGAAGCATCCTACTATGTAATCGAAGAAAAGGAAGCTTCAACAAGAGCAGTGAGGCTTATAACCGCCCGCTAGCAACACCGGTGCCCTTGACGATATGCAAAACATGCCTGAAATCATCAAAGTCTTGGAATATCTTGTGCTGAGGTCTATGGGTTGCTCGTTCTCAATGCTTCCACCGAGGCGTAGCGCTGTACATCTCAGATAATCGATCCAACTATTCATCCGTTTGACGATTTCAAGCGTAGTCAATGAGACGCATGTCATACAAATCTAAAGATATCCATCGAGCATTTCTAATGATTAATCCGCCGACGCCGACAACTTGAAGCCCCCGGTACAGCCTGTCTGAAATAGACCGTCTGGGTCATACTGCTGGCCTATTTTCCTCAGGAACTCCAACTTCTGCTCGCCGTACCCTACCAATGGACGCTGCCAGTTTTCGCAGTAGTTCAAGTACCGGTAAGGATGAGTCCTGCCATTGGCTTCAGCGATAGCGTTTATCTTGGCCAGAATCCCACGGACCACCGAGTAAACATACTCGTCGTTATGTGCACCGTCCCAGTCAATTGACATATTAATGATGATTAGTGGCTCGTTTGTGCTCTCGTGGACACCGATGACATTGGGGTCGCCCTTTGCGGTCCACGAGGGCAGCAAAGGCTGCATGACCATTGTCCACATAGACCCCTCCACCTTACGCAGGGACGCTGTTGCCTCTCGAAAAACGTCGTGGGCGGCCATGATGGTAGCCAAGTCATTCTTGATCGTGGTAGTCCCGAACGAGCTTCGCTTACTGGGCCAACAGCCCCGGTTGACCTCCTCGACGGCGGAAGTGACAGATTGCACCTTGTGGGTGCTCCAGTATCTCCACAGGGCGGAGAAGCCAGAACGTTGCCAAAAGGCCGGCCATTGTTCCGGGGATTCTGGTGTCTTGGTATAGGCCAGCTGTAGAGCAAGCAGCCGCATACTGATGGGCTGAAGATAAACATCGCAGACAATGGCTCCCGCGGCATAACTATCCACCTCCGCACCGCTGCTCTTAGGATCCATCCGCTTGACGCTGTTATGAAGAGCCAGAAGAGCTTTGGTGCATTGCGAGCCGGGTGCATATATGTAACCGCTCCAGATGGGGCTCGAGGAAAAGCAGCGCACGGTGAATCTAGTGACGATGCCGAAGTTGTTGGAGCCACCCTTCAGTGCCCGCCAGAGTTCCGGATGGGAGCTCGCTGTGGCCGTGACTGTCGCCCCCGAGGCCAGCACAACCTCGTATGCAATGACATTTGAGCATGCTAATCCGTACCTGGGAGTGAAGAAGGAGATTCCGCCTGGTTGAATGCGTTAATACGTTGAAAAGACAATGTGGTGATTGACTTATAATACCTCCTAACGTAAACCCGCCCACTCCGACATCGGCACTTCTGCCTCCCACCACCCCGAGATTCAATTCGTCCAAGGTGCGCGAGACATCGCCCCATCGGGATCCAGCTCCAATCACCACACTTTCTCGGTCCTCGGCGACCGTCACCTCGCGGAAGTGGGTGAGATCGATCAAGACGCCGCCCTTGGCACTTGCAGCTCCCGTCAGTGGGGATTGGCCTCCGCCTCGAACAGCAAACAGAGTGTTATCGGACAGCGCTCCGGAGCTTTGTCGCCGCTGATGCTCCTGCTTGAGGATTTGGATCGCGGTCGACACTTCTTGAGTGGTGCGTGGCTGGACAATGACCGCTTGAACCACGTCGCGCTCCTGTCGGGCGAAATAGGTGCTAAGCGATTGGCGGAAGAGTTCACCGTCGCGGTGGAGGAGTAGCACGCTCCCTTGCGGGAGAGCCTTCACTAGCCTTTCGCCCAGAAGATGAGGAACTGGGGGGATTCCATCTTGCGGGGCAGGTTTCAATTCAGGTGGTGAGCTTAACCTGCCCAAGAAGCGGAACACCAGCACTACCAGGGCTGTCGCAATGGCCACCGAAGGGAGAAGAGCGCCCATGTTGGTATGTCATCAGGCGGCAGAGCATTCCGAGAATCCAAAGTTGTAAGGAAAAAGGGAAAGAAAGAAAAAAGGAGAGAAAAGGGAGAGAGAAAGAGGTCTTTAAATGTCTCTAGCCAGCCGCACTGATACACGGGTTCAGACCCACAGTAAGCAAGACCAAGCGGGTGTGCTGGCCCCCCATTGGAGGCGCATAGTTAGGGCATGTCAGCACTAAAGAAAACTAGATATTTTTGGATTTACATTCTGGATTCATTGATGGAAGACTGCTTTTGAAAAAAGACCCGTGGATTATGCCTATGATCAGAGATGATAAATCGTTACGTTTTATGACACTGATCTCTTGGAAGCTGCTGAGTTGGTCGCTGTTCTTATGTGTGGAAACCGAGAAGAACCTCAATTCACCGATTGCTGCTTGGTAAGGTGACCCTTGATCAAGAAACAAATGCCCAGGAACAGTCCCTTCTCGAACGAGTCTTGGAGATTGTAAATGCGGACGCCTCGGATCTCCATGGGCTTGACCGGGACATCGCCAATAGCATTGCGAACGTGCTTCCATACCATGATTTTGCCATCCTGGTATGCACACCCGAGAACCATCTCCCACTCAGGGGGGGCTATCTGTCGCATCTCCTCCAGCTTGGGCTCCAGAAGAACCCTAGCGGTATTTGGCTTGTCGAGTGCGCCCAGGAGTATGTGTTGGAAACACTTGCCATCCTTAAACACGCTGACTGCCTGTGGCTCTTGGCCGCCTGGCCCCTGGATCACTCGAAAGTCGAATCCCGGCTCCCCTTCGAACGCCTGCCGCAAAACACTCACTAAGATGCTATCAGCCATGGTAATAAAAATATAATCTGATGCCCTGGAGCCCATCTGAGCGTTACGGGGCGGCGTGGGAGTTATTGTGGGTTGTTTGTGAAGTGAGTTTGGTGCCGTTACTGCGATATATATACCTTTCGAGCTTTGTGGCACCCAGGTCTCAGGCAGTGTACTGAGCAGGAAAGCCTTTGTTTTCTATTCTGAAAGGCTGGTTCAAGTTAAAGTTGGTCAAAGTGCCAAACCCAGGCCAGAGCAATCGAGAGTTTCAACCAACAGGCTCACAAGATGTTTCAGTGACGGGATAAAGCCATGAAGCATCAGGCAAGATAGGTCCATTCATAAGTCAAAAAATAATGCAGCACGTGTTACCTGAACTTTACATTGGATGTTCGAAGAAATTTCTATGCAGTAGCAAAGCACTACCATTGCTCATGCTTAGCTAGTCTGGGCTTTCTTTATCATCTCACAACACATTGAAGATAATAAAGAAGGCTCCACCCTTTGTTCATTAAATGCACTCTTATTCACTCACAAATTACAATTCGAGGCTCGAGCTTACTAATTGCAGTCTTGACTCTCTCAAGCATTGCTCTATGACTAAGCATTAAGCCTGAAGTCCTCTTCGGAAGAACCTGGTTCTCGGAGAGCTTCTTTAACGATCCGCGGCAAAGTATACTAGTACTGTACTTCTTTTCCTCATGGACTACCAATGGAACTTGGAACCAAGAAGCCTTCGACTTCGCCAACATTCGTGCTTTCCGTGACCCAGACTTAGACCCCGTCGCGGTTGGTTGCGATGCGCTAGGCAAACAGCCGGCAGATATCGCAAGCTCCTATATACACCTACATCCATAGGAAACAATGCTGTGCGCTCACTGCGCTTTGGTTTTTAAACCTCCTTGTTTCAGCTCCAGTGACCTTTGCGCGAGATGTGGGTATCTTTCTACTGCACTCTCAACTACCAGAGCAAGAAGTTCCTGGTGCGATACTCCATGGTGGCGAGCCGTCTCGCTCAGGAAAGAATACCCTGGACATAATCCAGGCAAAGGGTTGACCTGAGTAGTTTCAGCATGACTTTGGCAATTTCTGGGAGGGGTGGCTGATAACTGACCTCAATAACATGCGGTCTCCCATCGGCTGAGCACCGGATATCCACACGTCCCACGTCACGAAAGCCCATGACTCTCCACACCCGCAAGGCGAGCGCCTCGACTGCCGCTACCTCCGGGTCCCACGATTCGATCGCAAACTTCATCACCTCTTTATCGTTCGCTCGGTTCTTGGCGTCAACGTCCAGGAACCCTCTTGTGAACGGATCCTTCTCACTCTCGGATTGTGTCCCGTGGCGTTTCTGCGCAGCCTCCCAGTCCAGATGCAAGGTCCCAAGCACACGTGCGGTCTGGCCGGTGCCGATCAGACTCACCGAGTACTCACGGCCAGCCAGATAACTTTCGACTAGGATACTCTGCCCAGGAAATTGATGTTGTAGCTTTTGCACCCCTTGTTCGAGCTCCGCTTGGTTGTGAACCTTGGAGAACGGATAAATGCCTTTCGAGCTTCCTTCACAGGATGGCTTGATGAACAACGGATATGCGGTCAACTCGACTGCGTGAGGGCTTGCTTGCACATCTTCAAGGGGATTCTGGGACGTTGATGGGACGACGGCGAACGGCGCGGTGGCGATGTCGTAGTATTGGAACATCATCTACGGGGCAGGAATCTGGGCTTAGCACGATCGCGTCTCTCGTCGAGTAGACAGAGATGATGCAGGAGGAGAGAGTACCTTGGTCTTTGCTTTGTCGAGTGTCATGGTCAGGGTTGCAGCGTCCGAAAAGACGCAGGGAATACGGTATGCTTCCAGCACGCCGGGGATTTGGGCCTCGCGAGCGGCGCCGTGCATCCCCTCCGAGATCGAGAACCCTAAGTCCCATCCCCGATGCTCCCCCTTCGCAATGCGTTGGATCAGCTCGTCCATGTCCCCCACAGGAACCACTCGATATCCCAGTCCGCGGAGCGACTCGATCATGCTGTCGATTGCTTCATCTTTGTCCAATTCCAGGCACTCCTCCAGGCTGTAGCCTTTGCCTAGGTACAGCGAGATTGTCTCATAGAAGAACGCTATCGTGATTGGAGTGAGGGTCATCTTTTCGAGTGCTGCAGGCTTTTGGCAATGGGTGCCGTACTAGTCGCGAGGTCCAAGTGAGGCCCCTCACTGGTTCTTAAGATGGTGTAATGGAGAAGCTTCGGTTTTGAGGCCAGTCAGAGTGTGCGATGGCGGGCGATCATCCCTTGCATTACAAAGAAGCGGTGGACACGTCAGCATGGACGTACATTGCTGCATTTCGCGCACGCAATGCCAGCTTAACACATCACATCTCAGTGGCCGATCTGAGTTAATCACGCTTGGAGTCAATTTACGCTGTGCAATGTCTAGACCGAGTTTTCCGACCGAGGGGCTATAAACCGGGCACGGTTGGGCATGGGGCATTGATTTCCCACACAGCCGACAAAACCACCCACCATGACTCTCTCCTCACGCACTGCGAAGTCGAGCGTTGGAAAGGTGCGATGGTCATCGGTGGTCAGCAGCCCTCAGTTCCATCCATCGCCCACGGGGAATTGGGAATACTGGCGCAAGGTGCCCGCCTGGATGGATGTATCTCGGAACGAGTTTTTGAACTACAAGTGGCAGGTATGGTGACTCTATCTTGGGGCTCTCCTCTACATTCGCAGACTGATCATCAAATAGATGCACCACTCGCTGCAGAACACCCCGTCTCTGCTTGCCTTTCTGTCTGGAGTCCTTCCGCCCCAAGTCACAGCACCGTCGGGTCACGGAGAAATCACTCGTGACGAGGTGTTGAATGATGTGGTGACCGGACTCAAGAAGGCACCGATGGCTACTCGACTGACACCCCACATTCTGGCGCTGATCAACTGGGACGAGGTCTACTCCGATCCAATTCGACGCCAATTCATCCCGGTTGGCTCCTCGTACCAGCCCGACCATCCCAAGCTCACCCTCGACTCGTTAAACGAGACGCATGACTCACCCGTGAAAGGCCTGGTTCATCGCTATCCTGACAAGGTGCTGTTTCTGGGTAAGAATATCAAACCTATCTCTTGAGTGATACTAACCTGTCACAGCCAGCTCTGTGTGTCCGGTCTACTGCCGGTTCTGCACCCGATCCTACTCTGTAGGGGCGCAAACTGAGTCGGTCTCCAAAAAGCGATTTCTCCCACTCCGAAAATACTGGGAGCCGATGTTTGATTACATTGCGCAGACCCCAGCCGTGACCGATGTCGTCGTCTCCGGGGGCGACACCTTTTTCCTTGAGCCACCGCAACTGCAAGAAATCGGCGAGCGACTCCTGAGTCTGGAAAACGTGCGACGGATCCGCTTCGCGAGCAAAGGGCTGTCTGTCTGCCCGTCACGCATCCTGGACCCAGATGACGGGTGGGCCAACACGCTGATCGCCCTCAGCGAGCAGGGCCGGGCGCAAGGCAAGAGCATCGCCCTGCATACGCATTTCAACCACCCGCAAGAGATCTCCTGGATCAGCGAGCAGGCTGCGCAGCACCTCTTCCGTCATGCCGTGACGGTTCGAAATCAGACTGTCTTACTGAATCGGGTCAACAATGACGTCCACACCATGAAGCGATTGATCCGGACGCTGGCAGACATCAATGTCCAACCGGTGAGTTCTCCAGCGGTACCTCTGCCGGGGGAGCAGGTCCGACTAACAGGTTCTACTAGTATTACGTATACCAGGGGGACATGGTACGGGGGGTGGAGGATCTCCGGACCCCCTTGCGCGACATTCTGCACCTCGAATCGCAGATCCGCGGCACGATCGCCGGCTTTATGACCCCCTCCTTCGTCGTCGACCTTCCCGGTGGCGGTGGCAAGCGGCTGGCGCAAACTTATGACAGCTATGATCCCTTGACGGGCGTGTCCAGATTCACAGCCCCGGGGGTCAAAGGGGACACTGTTCATGAGTACCACGACCCCATGTGGTCCTTGCCTTCAGCAACAGAGGAGACAAGCACGGAGAAGGTAGATTTTAGCTCGTAAAAACTGCACCTAAGCACTCAGTAGTGATTTGATTCAGGGGTAAAAATGCAAGGGAGTGCAGCGTTGCATCCAAAACATACCGATCATGGCCCGCTTCCCCTTTTAGGGCAAACGCCGCCCGATCGGGGATTCGACTGTAAAATCACTTACCATCTATCTCTTCAAGCGAGCCAAAAACTGCTTCCAGACCTCTCCAATCTTCGGACACCTGCTTCGTTTGTAGTCTGGATTTATGTCAACACCAAGGCTCGACTGATGCATGCCATTGTCCCGTCCGTCATGAGTGAAGAGCATATGTTAGAGACTCTCCCATCCTCCGGACGTGCGGAGGCGGACATCGAGGAACCCGAGGACTTTGCACCCCCACATCACCGACCACCAAATGTACTCCTCTACGCTATCTTCGTCGGTAAGATGGACTTAGACACCGGGTCCATTCATTTACCGCAGCAATATCCACTGACCAACGCCCAGGGTGCTTCATTGCCAGTGCGGACGAGGCGCTGATGATCTCGACCTACACCTCGATTGCCTCCGAGTTTCAGCAGCTCACCCTGGGATCCTGGCTACTGGTCGCGTACAACTGCGGAAGTTGTGTTGCATGCCCGGTGGTACGTACGCCTCCAAAGTCCAGACATGGGTATCGTGCGTATCGACTAACCCGTAAGTGGTGCCTGCGTAGATTGGCGCTCTGTGTGACATTTACGGTCGCAAAAAGACACTGTTGGGATCATATGCCGTTTTCATTGCCGGTAGCTTCCTATGGTAGAATTGGCCCATGATCAAGCTGGTTTGGTGTGATGCTAATGTTATGCAGCGGTGTCAGTGGCTCTCTGGTTACGTTAGCCGGGTCGAGGGTCATTGCTGGTGTAGGCGGCGCTGGAATGGTCGCAATGACCTCCGTTATCATCACAGGTATTCATCTTTCATATCCGAACCGAGGTGTGCCAATTTGCGACTGACTAGAAATTTTGCTCAGATTTGATCCCACCACACGAAGTGGCACTGTATGACGGCTACTCGAGCACCATCAACATGCTTGGCCGCAGTGTTGGACCTCCCCTTGGCGGGTTTCTGACGCAAACAGTCGGTTGGCGATTGTATGTATCCCCTTTCCATGCCGTACACATTTTGAGGCCTGATGTCTTTCAGGTCGTTTTTGGGTCAGATTCCCTTCGCCGTATTGTGTCTTGTTGCTATGATGTGGGGTAAACCACCACCACTGGCTCACCTTGACCGTCAAATGCATGGAGAGCCCAAAGAATTACACAAAAAAGACATTGATGTCTCTGGTATGCTAACCCTGACATTCATGGTTGTGGCTTTGAGCGCTCTGGTAGAGTATGTGACTGCTCCGGATGCAGAAGGTCAGAATGCAGCGGTCATTTTCTTTCTTTTGGTGGCTACTCTGGTGGCTGGTGTTGGGTTCGCCCTCGTGGAGGGATTTTATGCCACGAACCCGCTGCTACCAGTGCATCTAATAAAAGGACCCTTCGGGGCTTGGTGTCTGATGGAGCTTCTAATTTACATAGGGCGTGGCGCGGTAAGTCTCCCAGATAAGAAATCGCTCTCTGCCCTAGGAAATACTGATGCACGGAATAATGGATAGCTCCTAACGCACCTAACCCCGTATCTAATCCGTGTGGAGGGCTGGAGTGACGCATGGGCATCTTTTGCGTTTGTTGGAAATGTTCTGGGTATCGCATCTGGGGGGCTTGCGGCTGGATATGCAATAAAAAGGTAGGTCAGCATTCGGGTTCCGGTTGTGTTGTATTGATTCACTGAAATGTACTATTGGCAGATACAAGCGATATCGCAAACTCGGGATATCCTCTCATGCCCTCACCACTCTTGCCTACCTCCTGATTTTCATCGAGTGGCGCAGTGGCTGCACGATCTGGCAAGCCGGTCTCCCGTCACTCCTGGGTCTGGGAACCGGGCTCATGTACACCGTCAATTTCATCGGCTTGACCACTACCTCTCCGAAAGAAAGTATGCCCGCGTGTATTGGCACGATTGAACTTTGTGAGTCACTCGGGTTTATTGTCGGTCCTGCCATTAGCACCGCAATGATCCAGAAGATGTTTGCACATAGTCTCGCGATGACCATGCCCAGGGTGCCTGGCCTGTCCGAGGTAAGTTTTCGCCTGGCTATCAGGCCCAACCCAATTTCAGTTCTGTCGTTGATTGGCTTCACATAGACAATTCATCACGTCCTCGATGACGCGCGGTTTTCCTTTACCCTTGGCGATGCCATCCAGCAGATCGCGCGGACTAGCTACCTGCAGGCTTTTCAATATGTACCACGTATGAGATACCCTGGATGCAAGACATCGTTGACGCGATTGATGCACATCGGCGTTACTGACAGAATCTCTAGTCTTTGCCACTGTTTGCAGCGGAGCAGCGTTGGCTATTTTCATGCGTACTAATACCGGCGACCTGGTAGAATAACTAATGATGTGATTGTCTGGTCCATGCCGATTAAATTATCGCGGTGCAATCAAAGGGGATGACGAAGCTACTCCTTTCGATTAGACACGGTCTTCAATCAGTCAAAAATGCACGAGCCAGACCAAAGCTTTCTAAGCTTTCTGTATCAACAGGAAGATCCCGCACCTTGATGAGATTAATGAACAAAGAAGCTAGTGAGAGACACCAGCAAGACTGCCCTCAAATTGGAACTGATCATCATTTGTCGGGCTGTCTGCCATGCTCCGGCTATCAGTATGACACAAAGGAGATTCTATGCCAGGAAGGAGATGTATTTCGCTTGGAACCGTCGAGTCCCGTCTATAAAGGATGAAATTACGACTCTCGCCCAATCTCATAGCACATTCCACCCTTAGTGACCCAAGTATATATTCAACATCTAAACATAGTATAGCCAAGATGATTCATAACTTCCATCCCACCCAGCAACGAGCTCCGTAAGGATTTCACCTCTACTACAGAACGTCGGACTTGAAAGTTACCATATCTGCATATTTTATGATGGGTGTCTCGGGATCTCGCCATACACGTGAGGAACAGGCTGTTCCCTCGCCAAGCGAAGGGGAATCCTCAGCATCTAAGCCTGAGGAAGGCGACATCCCTAGCGCGTCGAGCGAAGACAGTTCTTCAATAGCTTCCGAAGACAAGTTCACTATTCCCCCATTCGAGGGAGAACAGGAACCCTTGAGCCCTGTCACAGACGATTTAAACCTTAGGATTCCCCTCTGCGTGTATGGCCTCCTCCGGCAGATATTCCCGCCGGACGAGGGCTACCAACATACACACGCCACCCGGCATACGGGGGATGTCGACTTTCAAGTGCTGCACGTGGGCCACCCTACCACAGGAAGGTTCTTTTGCCTATTGTCTGGACCCACGCCTTCAAGGGCCCCGTTCTGGTATTCATATTCCGTCTGGCTCGCGATGGAGCTGGATATCATGGAACGCCTCACCTCTCCGGAAACACCGATTACTGGGATGATCTGGCGCATGGGTGAATTCGGGCTATACGAGCGCCGTCGGGTAGACGGAAGCATCATCACGCCGCCAGGGACCATCGTTCATGACCGAAGGCACTCCTTCGATGTCGTTGAGTATTGGCTCTTCCTCGTGGAGTATCTTCTGGGATTCAGGGGCGATGTTCACTATCGTGACATCCCAATGATCCCTTACGAGGCTTAGACCCAGGGCTCATCTCCACTGTGTAGCATTAGGTCTTCACCTGTTGCAGACGTAGGCGTATTTTTCTTAATGTTTCCACAATTAATTTTCCGATACAAGAGCCTGCCATTCATTGTACCTGTTCTTCAGAATCCCAGATTGTTCATTTCGTCTCTTCGCAGTCTGCTGCTCACATTAGCTACCAATACTAAGCGGTAAATCATAACAGTGTTCATGAGTCAAATAACATCAGCCGTCCAGGCGTCCTCAGATGTTAGATAGGTCTAGGTGGTCGGCTTTGTTTCATAATAGATAGCAAAATGACAGATGGGAAAAAGCCGGAGTGTTGGAGCTTCGAAAGGAGAGCTGGGAGAAGATGAAAAGGAACAATGAAAAGAAAAGAAGATGTAAAGCTCTCGCTATAGCAAATACAGTAAATCTCAAGGCTACGGGACCTCGATTCCTCGGGGCTTGGGATCAACGAACACTTGGGCGGATATACAGTCAAAGATGGCCGGGTTCCTTGACACTACCGGGATTTTGAACAAAAATGGTGTCAAATGTTTTACCAGCATCTTGGTGGCATAGTTGATATCATCATTATGACCCTCTTGGTCTCTCCTGTGGACCGAGCTGAAATCACCATGCAGCTTTCATGTACTGTATGGACTGTACTGTAACTTAGCCATTACACGGGCAATAGTCGAGGTAAGAGAGCTACACGTGAGTCGGCTGCGGTAATCTTGCGCCCCCGCTCGTCTGAGCAAATGAATAATTAGCAGGAACCACGGCATTTCTTTCTCAGACATTGCACCTGTATTGCATCCCATCCATAATTTTACTCTACCTCACTATGACACCCATTCAACCCGCCTGGCAAGCCAGAGCCTCAGCCAAGCGCGAGGCGATCCTCTCCGCCATTCCCACCGAATGGCGCGTCCCCGCTCCCATCCCCACCCTCGACATCCAACTCAATGTGACCGGAACATACATCCAGCAATATCTTTCCCCGCGGGAGATTGAAATCACTGAGTCCGACGCCGAGGACATCGTCTCTCACACGACAACGGGCACATGGACCGCAGTGGAGGTCGCATCGGCCTTCTGCCACCGTGCAGCCCTGGCTCACCAGCTCGTTTGTCTCCTCCCCGCCCATGCTTATCTAACACCCCTGCAACCCTAACCACGAAGAATAGGTCCCCTGCCTGCTTGAAATCTGCTTCGACCGCGCTCTGTCCACCGCAAAAGAACTAGACAGCTACTTCACCACCCACCAAAAGCCTCTAGGCCCACTACACGGCCTCCCCATCAGCCTCAAAGACCAATTCCACATGTCGGGGGTGGAAACGACCATGGGCTACGTAGGCTGGATCGACACCTTCGAAGGGAAGCCACGCACCTCTCTCCCGCCCCACGAAAGAGACCAAGAAAGCGAACTGGTCCGCCTCCTCCGCGCCAGCGGGGCAGTCTTCTACTGCAAGACCAGCGTCCCGACCACCCTGATGGCCGGGGAAACCTGCAACAACATCCTGGGGTACACGTACAACCCGGTCAACCGCCACCTCTCCGCGGGGGGCAGCTCGGGTGGGGAGGGGGCATTGCTGGCGCTGCGGGGCTCGACGGTGGGGTTCGGGACGGATATCGGCGGGAGCATCCGCGTCCCCGCCGCCTTCAATGGGATCCACGGCCTGCGGCCCTCGGCCGGGCGCTTGCCCTTCGAGGGAGTGGCCAATTCGATGGATGGGCAAAACACTATCCTTTCGGTAGTCGGCCCGATGGCGACCAGTGTCCAGGGACTCAAGCTGTTGGTGCAGGCGGTGCTGGCGCAGGAGCCGTGGTTTGTGGATCCCTTGGTGGTGGAGATGCCCTGGCGCCATGCGGTGGAGGAGCGCGTACGGGCTGCGGCGAAGGACAAGGGGCTTGCTTTTGCGATCATGGAGGATGATGGCACGGTAAGACCCCATCCGCCAGTTCAGCGGGCGCTGGGGTTGGTAAAATTGTTGTTGGAGCAAAAAGGCCACCGGGTGAGTGGTGTCGCTTGCGGTGCAATGGATTCCAAACTTACCTAGTGTGTAGGTTATCGATTGGAATCCCCCGAGTCATGCCACAGCTTTCGATATTGCGGTACGTACTGGACCCGGATTCCAACAAAAAAAAAGTAAGAAGAACGCTGACCGCACAAGATGCAAGCATGGCACATGGACGGCGGAACAGACGTCCAAGCCCACCGCGCGCTCGCCGGCGAGGAACAGCTCCCTGAGTGCTTCTTGCAGCCGAGTGCGCACCTCAGCGCTGCACAGGTGGCAGCCCTGAATGTCAAGAAGCGCAACTATCAGAAAGCGTACATGGACTACTGGAACTCCACGGCCACACTCACCGGGACCGCACGGCCGGTGGACGCGCTGATCTGCCCAGCTTGCCCTTCAGTGGCGGTCCGACCAGGCAAGTTTAAGTACGGGGTGTATACCACTTTTGTCAATGTCCTCGACTATTCCAGTGCGGTTCTCCCGGTCACGAAAGTGGATTGCGTGGTGGATGGGGAGCACAGACCGGCTGTGCCCTTGAGTGAGATGGATGCTGAGGTTCAGGCAGACTGTAGGTATCTGTCTGGTGAATATGAATGAAGCACGCGCGCTAACGGTCACAGATGACTGCGACGATTGCCATGGCTCTCCAGTTGCGCTGCAGCTGGTGGGTCGCCGCTTCGAAGAGGAGAAGGTGCTGAGTCTGGTTCAGTACGTTGAGGGTCTTATCAATGAGGCTACCCAGAGGATGTAGCCATCGGGGTATTCTGATGACGAATGAACAGAAATCTTTTTCAAGTTGCGGTTGCTGGGATCTTCTCAATCTGTGTTCATTTGCCCCCTCTAGGTTAATTTACTGCCTTAAACTATTGTGCCGGCGGCACTACCCAGTACTCCCCTTTCACGTTTCACGTTGCATAAAACTGCACCCTTTGCAACACGATGAACTTCGAATCCTCTACTGTCATCGTGTGAGTAGACAACAATTCGCCGCGCAGCACTACTCCGCCTCCCCCTCGCCCTCCCCGGTCGACACCGCAGCATACCTCTGTCCCCCTTTCAGCCACCGCTTACGAAGAGCATAGAATCCCGCCCCAATCACCCACAGCACGATCAGAATAGCCGCCTGAAACGGCGCAAACACCGCCCCACGCGTCACCACAAACCCACTCACCAGGACAAAGACAATTGGAATCCCCAGAAAGGGCTTGTAGGGCCGCTCGAGGTCCGGTTCGCGGAAGCGCAGCATGATCGCTCCAACCACCGTCAGGAAAAAGAACGAGTACTCTCCCAGACCATTGAAGGTAAGCAGAGCTCGGAAGTTGCCAAAGAGAATATAGAAGATTGGCAAGATGGTCGATAAGACGATGGCGTTGATGGGTGCATCGGAGCCGAGGCTGTAGTTCTGGTCGGAGGAGGACCGTCCCAGCTGACCGATAACTCCCAGGAGTTGCGGCAGCCAGTTCCTGTTTGCAGCAGCAACTACCATCCGGCCCGCAACAAAGGAGTTGCCCAGCAGAGATCCGGCGACTACGAGACAGATCAAGATCGCGGCGATGATGCCGGCTGCGGGGCCTAGAAGATGCGTTATGGCCGTCTGATGGCGTTAGCTGCGCCCACGAACAGAGGCAGTAGGACTTAAACGTACAACAGCCACACTATCCGTCGTGGAGACCACGTTCCATGGTAGGAGAATGTAGTATGCCGCATTGGCCGCAATGAAGCAGAGAATGATGATAGGCACGGCGGAGTTGATAGCCAAGGGAAGCTGGCGCGCCGGAGCGGAAAGTTCTGCGCTGATGTAGATCGCCTAGAAAAATGTCAATGACTCCGCCGGCCGCTGAGAGAAGTGCCTTACCTTGTCCCAGCCAGAATAAGCCCACAGTGCACCGTACAAGGCGGTCGAGTAATACCCCAGCATCTCCCACCCAGCGACGTCATGCCAGTCAATCAGCTTTCCATCCGGAGTGACCGTGTTGCGATAGCCGAACCAGGGATTCTGGAACCAGTCTCGGGATCCATGGGCACTGTCGGACTTGGCCAGATGGGCGATAACAGCACCAAGCCCCGCTAGCACCACCGCAGCGATGGTGACGAACTTAGTGCTGACGAAGAACCCATTGAGCCGCGTGCTGACCTTGGTGCTGATAGAATTCGCAACGCTGACCACGACAAGAATCAAAATGGACAGCAGCTTGTGCGACAGTGCTGCAGCCTGATCAGTCACACCAGCTGCCGAGTAAATGCTCTCGACGAACACGATGCTGAGAATGGCCAAGGTGGCCGGCATGACAGCAATGATCCACGTCCAGGCCGCCAGAAAGCCACAGAGATCACCGAAGATATACTGCAGATACGGCTGCACGCCACCTGGACGACATTCTGTCAGCGACTGGAAAAAGCAGGGGTTACAATGTAGTGGACGGATCGGTACCTTCACCAGGAATGGCAGTGCCCAGCTCGGCCATAGTCGTGGCGCCGGTCCAGGCTAAGATCCCACCTACAAGCCATACCACGAGAGCCACTCCGGGCGAAGGAACATTGGTGTCGATTGACCCGGGGGAAGTAAAGATTCCACTTCCGATCACGATGCTGATGATGATGCCGAAAGCTTCGACGGTGCCAAGGTTTCGCTTGAATGCACCGGGGCGGTGATCTTCCACGGTCGCACCTTCTTGGGCAGTCGCTGCATAGGTTCTCTCGTCCGGTTGAGTGAGTAACGGCTGGGCGGCTCCATCCGGGGAGTCGTGGGTAGAAGCCATGATTGCAATGATTGTTGGGTTACTTAGTGGAAGGATGGTGATAAGCAGAGAAACAAATGCAGGAGTCACTTCGATGCGATCACGCCATCAGACGCGCAGATTGATGCTGCCTCTGCCCCGCACTTGATTTCCCCGTTGAACCTGAACTCGATTGGGAAACAGAAGAGGCCGGTGGAGGTGTCCGCAAGAAGGTCACTCACTAAATGTCTCCGGGGGAAGTTGCGAGAATGGAGAGAAGCTGGTTTGATATTATCGTCGCTGACCGCGTGGATGGTTGACGCTCACATGTGACTCCTCCCTTATCCGCTGCCACTAAAGTCATATGACCAGTTCCTGTGTGCCTGAGGCATCATTCCTCTCTCAAACCCGACATTCAGAACGGTACTGTAGTGTATGGATTGCATTTTGACTGACATGCTTGCGTGTTTCCTTTTCGCTGAGTCAATGAGAGGTGGTCAAGCTTTGATCCTACTACAGTTCGACACAGATAGTTTCGTCATGTGATATTCGGGCTATCGACTTGTCTGTACACACACATTACATTACTCTAAATCTAACATGATCTCTAATGAGTCGCTTCGTCGAGGTTGATGTTTCGGCTTAATACAAAAACGACATTGGGGTAGCAGCACCGCGCGAGACGCTGCGGTACTCGTGGACGGCAAGGTGAGTTCCTCCCCCCTTTACTGTCTCATCATCAGACCCAGGATCGGGAGGCGTGAATTCTCCGTCAGCGATGGGCCGGATGTAATAATGGTGGCTATCTTCGACCATGCCCACGTGCCAGCGATCCTGAAGTTCGCGACCCGTGGGCCCTCTTCCGCATGCCCCATGCAATCGTTCCGTCGGTGGACTGTTGATCGCCAAGGCGAACATACTCGAAGGCTCGGTGAAATCATTGAGGAGGCGGCCGCGAACTTCGACCATGAAAAAGGCCATGAAGAGGACACTCGTGAGGAAGGCCAAGACAAGGACGACGTAGAAGCTCTTCTGCCAGTTGACGGCGTGGCCAGAAGCATAGCCCGATGACTGAAGAGTGGCGTTAAAGATCTGTTGCACCGGAGAAGGGAGGATCTGATTCGCATAGCCGCTGTAGTTCCAAAAGGGAACGTAAGGGGCATCCTGACTACTAATCATAAGAGTGACACTGGTCAGGACCGCTATGGCTTCCGCAACCGAAGGTACGTTGGCATTCAGGGACGCAGTGTTGCTGCTGTTGTCGTAGGCAGGAACCATCTGGGTCAAGAGCCGTTCAATGCTGGCGTCTTCTCCTGCGATTCCGGATCCTAGACTGACGGCATCCAGCCACAGCCAGCCAACGCTCTTCCAATTGATGTCGTAGTTGTCTTCTACGACACCCGGAACCCGACGGCTGTACTGGAGCGTGTCTGTGGGATCTTCACAACGGGTGCTCAGCTCGGCCCCGCTTGAGTCCACCTGGTATTGGGCCGAGCACAAACCAGATTGCTTGGCTTTTAATGCACAAAGGACATAACCGGGATCGTGACCGGTGGGGGCGGTTCCCAGCAGATAGAGAGCAGATGAGTTCTCTACCTTGGCATTGAAAATCGTGTTGTACTCGGTCGGATAAATTGGGAAGACGGGAGCCGGGTGGTAGGTGCCAGGCGCAAAACCGAAGACCTCGTCCACCACGGTTTGATTTGTGCTCTGATAATATGCGGGAGCCTCTGTGTACCACGTTGTGGAGTTGAAGGGCTCGTGATCGGGCCATTCCGTGTAGATGATGGGCTCCAGCTCTTCCTTCGACAAGCCTGCACAGAGTACATTGACTGCCGGGGCAGGCACGGAGGCTTGGAGAATGTACTTCCCGTCTCCAGTGGCCCCATTCGGCTGCCGGATCCCATTTCGAGGATTGCGCGCCGCCTCGTATAGTCCTCCATGGGGAAACGCGGCGGTAACATTGTTCACCATTCGTTTGTATTTCTGGGAGGTTGCCTTCATGTCCGTGACCTCGATCCAACTTCCAGTGACGGTAGTATTATCGTACAATGACCCATGAGGCTTGATACGCGTTCTCAGTGACGTTGAGGTTGCATTGTTCGCCTGCGCTAGCCCACTCCATTGCTGCATGTATTGCTCGAAGTCGTGGTAGGCCCGACCGACAATCTCCATAGAAACGCAGGTCTCGTTCCGGCCGGCGGAGGGGTCGATCGTAGCGGTGATAGGAGTGTCGCACTGGGCTTCGAGGTAGGTGGGATTCGCGAAGGAGGTAGACACGTTGCCATAGAGTATTCGTTCGTAGACGGGGCCCATCGCTGACTTGGGGGACACTGCGAGGTGACATGGAATCAGCACTAGGAACGACGGGCGAAGGGAAGTCGATCGGTCGATCTCTTACCAAGAGCTTCCGCAGCAGTGGTGTAAAGCATCGAAACAAGAGTCGCGATTAGTGCAATAATGCCCAGGAGAGTACCTCCAGAGTAGCGCAAAGTCTCCCACTGCATGAACAAGGACCCCGGCTGCGTGATCCACATCCGCAGACTCATGTCCGAGATGCTGATGCCTCGCGACCCTCGACGCAGGGCTCTGCGGCTGAGCAGCTGGCCCACAAATGCTACACTGACCGTCACATAGGACAACTCGATGGTTTTGGCGAAGAAGGCGCTGAGGAGGGTAGCTGAGGAGGGCGCCAGGCCACCGGTGTCGCCGATGAGGTTGCCATAATACGGTTTAAGGCAGGCGATGATAAGAAACAGGCCTGACAGGAGGGTAGTGTATGTGGAAAGGACAATGAGAGTTGCAAAAAACCACGAGCAACAGCGTTCGATGACGGGTTCGCGCGAGGGGCAGTTCATCAACCGGAAGACATCGTTGGAATCTAGCTCACTGCAGGTTGTGTCACGCCGCTGCGGAGGCGAGCCGGGACTGGGGCTGGATGTAGGACTCGCAACAGGTTTGACTCCCATATCGCCATCGTCCTCGGTCGGGGAGAGGGTGGTGTTGAGGTGTAAGTCGACGTCGTGCTGGAATTCGAGCAGGTGGTGTTCAGCGGTAGATTCAGAAGCCATCCCTGGCAGATGGTTGAGAAGTTGGTTTGTTTTGATCTTGCCTCATCCGACCTGTCAGCCGCAACAAGAGGGGGGGGAGATTAGTTGAGGGTGAAAAATGGAGTCGATGGAGTTGTGTCAGACTTCATCCTGCGTGTCAAGCGTTTGGGGGCGATGGGGGAGGGGGGGAAGACCCAGATTAGCCATAGCCATCAGCCATCAGCCCGAGAAACAGTTAATTTCAGGAAATGAGGGAATTCCCTGCGGCTGTGCTAGCCTGGTGAATCCCCGTCGCAAAGCAGTCGAGAGATTGGCCCAACACATCGTTGGGGAAGACTTAGTGAATTAGTGAATTAGTTGCACAGGGAAGGACAGGGAAGAACCGGGACTAGACCAGGGGACAAAGAGGCTGGACTGGAGCTTGGATTCTGGATCGGAGGTGGGAAGCAATCGAAGTCCACTTGGGAAAAGGCGGACCGAGCGGTGGAGAGCAGCCGATCATCGGCCCTCGATTGGTTCGTTCGACTGTCACATCATGTGACGACTCGGGATGATAGAAGCGGTGGGGAGCAAAAGGTCACGTGCCTGATCTATCTCCGACTGACCCCATTGGGATTGGGCTGTAAGGCTCAGCACAGCTACTAGGTAGAAGTAGAACTGGTTGGTGATCGATTATAACCATCTGCGACCAGTCTAATGCCATATATTAAGCTCCACATCTTCCTATCTCAAACACTGAGCTTCTACGATCCGATGGCTATAGCACTAGCCTTTGTTTCTAATTTCAAGACTTTCTGATACATCCTGCCCAGCTGGAGCGGAAAATATATCTTCGTTTCAGCCACGGGTTAGTCTCTCAGACGCGTCTGAGCACGGCTTCCCTTGTCACCTCCAAACAGCAAGGGCACTTCGTAAAGAGATCATCGAAGGAAAGGGTAGACTACATCTCTAGGAATTGAATCATAAGGAGCCGAGGCAAAACAGATTACAGCATGTTATAGTATTTACAACAATTTGTCCCACAAGGACCAATGCACGACAAGGATGGATGCCATGCGGTAAAGCCAAGACTAGCAAAGTAAGACAGCTTTGATGTAGAGGAGCATATGTCATATCCAGTCGCTAATCAATTATGTGTGCAGTCTGTACTCATAGTTCCAGCAAAGTAGAACGGGTCGTAGGGCTGTTGACGAGACTAAATATGAGGTAGTCCGTACCTACCAGAATTACCCCTACAGTACACACCAGGCTGTCATCGCGTAAACATCATAGTTTGTCCTATATCTCCGAAGTTAAGTCATCCAACTGTTTTGCTTGAACAGAAGAGGAAATTTTCTCGGGCCCGTTGGCCCCCCACGACCAGGGGGGCTGAAGAAGCATCCCCCACACAAAAACCTGCAGTTACTGCAACCATTGGTCTCCTCACCATCGTGACGTACATACTGCTCCAAGGCGAGGATGTGACTGGTCAGTTCTTTAACGTCTCTGCAATGGACTACACCAGAACTCGAGCCACCAAGGCAAAGGATTCCCATTCTACCAAATCGCCCCCAGAATTCCGCTTCTGTTAGCCTCAAGAGATATTCACCGAGCTATATGTGTTGCTATATGTGCTATGTGAGGCAGAATGGTGAAGAAAAGGGGTCGAGGGTCGTGCGTGCTCAAAATGTATTTAATGCGCGACTCAAGCTGGAGAGCAGCGGGTCTACTCCACCGACACACCAAGACAACACATCGACCATATTCTCCTGATCAAAATGAAGTTCTCCATCATTCTTGCTGCTCTTGTCAGCACTTCTATGGTAGGCAATACTCACTCTGCGTCGCATATGCATACTAATTCCTCAACAAGGCTCTGGTGACAACCCAGGTGCCAAGGGGGTACACCGTCGTGCCCATGACCTACAGAGGCATCATCACCGAGGGCGACGACGAGGTGGAGTTGTCCGGAACAATTGAAGACGTCCACCAGCAGATCAAACGTCTCAATCCCGACTTCAACGTCACCCAGTCTCTCGAAGTTCGGGAGGCGGACGCCGAGGTCCACCGCATCCTCCAGAAAAGAAACAAGGTCTTCCGACCAAGATCCAAACATAAACCATAGAGCTGCCTGCCACTGACACTATGGCTTAGAGCAACTTGCTGTGCAACATCGAGGGTGACCACTCCGAGACCGCCACCTACACATGGATCACCCAAGGGATCCAATATCTGCTCGCCTTGGATGGGGTGTGCAAAGTGGGTGCCGGCCCTGGCACCTGCGCCCGAATCAGCTGCTCCTATGACTCAGGTATCTATCTCTGCAATGACGTAAGGGTTTTGGCTGCTTCCCCAGTTGATCAGGACGTGGAGAATGAGAACTAATTGGCGAGTAGAATGCGTGGGAAATCGAGCCCAAGTGCTCGTACCTGGCAACCTATGCCGAGGATATCATGACGCAGTGCTATAACGGGATGTATATCAATGGCCAGGAGTTCGATACGGACAATTACAATGTCATTGTCGCCGGCGACATTTGCTAGAAAGGCATTAGCTCCGCTAGCAACGGGCGGGAGACAACTTTGTTGCTGCTGGGCGGACTGTTTTGCTGCGAGGAGCATGCTTGTCTTGTTGTGTTTTAGTTTGTACTGAACTGTACTGTAACATTAGTTCATTCGGTTTGTGTTTGCTGAAATAACGGATGTCAATTGTGCCGTGCATATATACTCAACCACAATTTATGGTACCTGTGCATGTAGTATCAGCAGATAATCAATACTGCTTAGGGTGACTTCGTGGTTTGGACTAGTCGGTGGTTGGAAATCTTTCAATTGAGCACTGCTCGTACCTGTAAAAGTAGAGCAGCAAATTAGCTAGGGAAAAAGGTGCAGGTAGTAGAAGACCCACCTCGAAGCATTGTAAGCTCCCACAGCTAGTGGAGGGTATTTTCACCAGTGCTCCTTGATAATCACTTCCATGATGTAGGCTATAAGTCTGGAATCATTTCGCATATGGAACACGGCTTTTCCTGCAACATCAATAGGGTAGCGCTGGCCATCTTCTTCGAGCCGGTAGAATCGGGAGAACTTACCGACGACGACGATCCCAAAGACAACTTTCGGCTCCTCCTGATCGGGGAGGTGTCTCATCGTATGCACCATCTGGGTCATGAGGTTAGCCTCGCGGTCCCACCGATCGAGATCGTCATCGCTGGAAGGGAAGCGCTCCAACTCCACATTTAAGAAGTTTGCGCCTACCCACCTGGACGATGCCGTGATGCGCACACTGAGCGTTCCCCGGTTATTGACGGCAGAAGTAGCACTACTCACATCGTAACCGGGGAAATTAGGCCCCATGTGCTGCGACGGGAAGAAGTGCTCAAGGATTTCGAGCCAACATCCCAGCATCTGCATTGCGTTCACTTGATCGTCTGGGATCGAGTTGGCCACGCCAGTCACGGCATCGGTGCCATCGTCAACCGCGGCAGAGAACATCTGTGGGAGATTTGGAATCTGAGGCTGAGGCTGAGGCTGAGGCTGAGGCTGAGTACCGGATTGACCGGCAGCCTGCTGATCCTCCGCCATCTCGCTTGCAATACTAGGCGTCCGCACCACTTGGCTCTGGTCAGTCGCAATTCTCAAAGTTATGTTATGTGGGTAATTTTGGTGGATGGGTAACCGACAGGTAGCGGGATTCTCCTAGTTTGTCGTTGTACCAAAGGAGAAAAATAGGGGGGCGAGTACTTTATACCAAGTCTACATCTCTAAGAGAGGGCGCTAAAGCCATGATGGTGCTGATAATCTCCGTGGAGAATGTTGCTTAGCGAAGCATTCTCACAATTTGTGGTAAGTATAGAAAAGGCTGTCGACCAAATCGGCGAGAGCCGCAATGCTCGTCCCACAGAGAGAAAGGTCTCAGAGCAAACCCCGGGATGTCAGGAAATTGATAATGAATAGATGGGGTATACCATGAGATCTTCCGCCGATAATCGTTGACAAGAGAACAAAGAGTTTGATAGTTTTGTACGTACAAGTTCATCGGAGACACGGGAACATGTGTATGGAAAGTACGGTACCCCTGTCCAGTCGCTATGATAGCAGCCGCACCATCCCCAGAGATAACTGATTGTGTAGAACTGCTATATACTGAATACCATGCACACTGCATACATCCACCCTCGCGACGCAGACATCGAGCAGAGCACGAACCTGCCAATTTATCCATAATACCAGACTCAAGTATAAGCCATAATCGAATTAAACGTCCAGAAAGCATACTTGAAATCCCCCGGCACATTCTTCACATAATCCTCACAAGAGCCATACCCAGTCTTGGCCGCGCACCCGGAACTCGACCACGTCCCACTCGCCCAAGTTCCACAGAAAGTGGTGTCGATGACAATCCTTTGATTTCTGATATGTGTGGACATATCACACCCACTGCCATTATTACTCTCAAAAACCGTAGTCGGGGTTTCCCAAGTATCCGGATTCGGAGAAGACCCCAAGGGCCCGCTTGCGCCACTGGGAATGGCACCCCGGGGGAAGAACCAGATGCGTACCGCTTGCGCGATCCACTCCATGGCATAAACACCTCCACCATTGTTGTTGAATCCCGATCCGAAGCTGTTGGTGCGCGAGTCGTTGGCGTCGCAGCCGCCGTTGGCCTCTTCGGCGCAATTGTTCCACCGGTCCTTGGTTGCGGTCATAGCAGGGTTGGAGGTGATGGTGCATTGGCCTTGTTTGTCGCTGACGTGCAACGACATCTGGTTGTTCTGGGCGTTGTTGGCATTTTCGACGATGTCAATCTCGCCGCTCTGTGGCCAATCGTCCGAGGCGGCGGTCATCCAGAAAGCGGGCCAGGTGCCGCAGACTTGTGGCTGGTCATTTTGATAAGAAAGAGGATTGGAGCATCAGAGGTGGGGGAAAGGGAACGGTACCATATATGCGATATCCGCCACGATGAGAGTTCCCGGGCTGTAGGCCGTCTTGCCGGTCAGCCGGACACTCTTGCGACCCTCATTGCCGACCTTGTTGGTGTTGTCCACTCCGAGATAGATGTTGCCGCCGTTGCCGATGAGGCCGTTGCTCCAGGCTGAGGCTTCGTCGACATATTGCACAAGACCGTTGGTCGGATCGGCCCCGGTCCAGAAGGTGAACTTGCCGAAGAAGTCTTGGTAATTGTTGCCGGTGTAGTTGTCCTTGAGAGTATAAGCTTGGGTGATTGCTGGCCAGACCAGGGCAGTGGCTGCCAGGAAGAAGGTTTTGGGTGCCATCGCCAAAGAAGTAGATCATGCAAGCTCACCGGTGGCTGCGAGAAAAGTGAAGTCGTGCCCCAGGTGTACAATATATGCGATGCGGCCGAGAACACCTCGCCGGAAAGGCATCCATTGACTATGCTATATACCTATTAGTGCTATGTCACCTCGTTGACTGATTAGGGGGGCATATTCTCTCCGAGTGAGGGCTGTTCGACCCGATCGGGAGAATGGATACCCGCTATTTCAGGCCAGGCTGACGGCCCGTCAGTGAATACGAGCCTGATGAGACAGTGCGAAACACCAACGCACCGTTGCTAATCCATCCATCATGTAATGTGTAAGGGTCCGAGACTAGGGCATCCTTTGGCCCCAGGAGTCTTCAATAGAGCGTGATCGTCAGGGGAAAGCACCAAGACATCGGAATCCCACGGCACCCGATTGTCTTTCAGGAAGCGACAGGTCTGCCTCCTCGTCACGAAGGTCAACTTCGCGTGATTGCGAACCTGACCACGCGCCATTATGACTTGGAGACAATGACATCAAAATGTCACACGATGAGTACGCACGGATCTTAGGTAGTAGAGGTATGGTCACCTTCAATTAATTCACTAGTGCATGGAAGAAGTCATGATTTGAATGTCATATCCGCCCACACAAGGCACCACACACAGTCGACGAATCCGGTCCTGTTGTCAGGTAAATCATTATCATTCATTGCGTTTTTATACCTACATACTCGTAACCCATCACGCTGCCAAGTGAAATACAAGAATAAGCGTCAGCGCCGAACCCTACATGCAACCTTACAACACTTCTGTCATCAGTTCATCAGCATGTGTATCGCACCCACCAACCCGTTTGCGCATCCTGAGCCATGTAGACGGCGTCTCGATGTTCCAAAGTCAAGTGAAACTGCAGTTGCTCTTTGCAGTCCATGGTTCCGACCAGGGCCTCGTGGGGCCCAGGGGTCTGCGGCCAGTAGGAGAAATCGGCGGCGCCGATGCGGGTGATATTGCCGGGGGCGACGTTCTCGAGAACGCGGACCAAGGCGTTGGAGCCCGCAGTGAAATTGCGGCGTGCGGGGATGGTCCAGCCGAGGGTGCAGTGGCGGGCCTCGGTGGGCAGAGTGAAGGTCATCAGTTGGTCCCATTGAGTGGTGGCAGAGCGGGAGAGATTCAAATCTGGGGTGGGAAAGGGAGAGGCGGCGGGTTCGGTCGGGAAGATCAGCTCCATCTGCGGCTGGAAGACTTGCGTGCCTGAGGCAGGACAGCTGATCTGGGTGTTTTCCGTGCTGTAGCTATAGTGGTGGTGGTGGTTGTTGTTGGCCGGGTTGTCCGGACAACCCGCCTCTAGGGCGCAGGGATCGACAGAGCAGCACCCCCGGAAGTGGTTCAGATAACACGCATAGAAGGTCGTCCCAGCACCGCACTGCGTATCATCGCGCGGAGACAGCGAGGGTAGAACATTTGTGTCGGTCGTGGGAAGAGCCACAGACAAGGACCAGACCGCCGTGCTGGCAAGGAGCGCTTGTCGGAAGAACATTCTTGGAGGGATTTTTGGCAGTTCGGAGTGATTAGATGGAGAATGTGCCAGGCGAGGATGCAGGAATGTGAAGAGATCTGGAATGCAACAGATCGAGGGCGAAGGCGAGTATCTCCATTTATATGTTTGACGCGATCTCCTCTCCGCACCATCGCAGGAGGTGGATGCAAGGTGCACCCCTCATCCCTGCCGAAACCCTGGATGGGGAGATCATCCTGTCCCCGGCCATTGCTCATGGAGCCCCCACCCTGGCTCAGGATATTCTCATTAGCCAAATTCTTGTCCAACTGAACAACGGCCTGCCAGGTCCCGATTCCCAGATTGTACCACGATCACAGTGGCTGGGTTAGTGGAAAGATAGGGCAGGGCATCCGCGCTCCGAAAGTCCGGAGGCAGAGACAGGAACTTAGTAGAGTCCACCGCCTAGCAGAATGACAGCGAATCTCTGGTCCCTCCTCGATCGCCAATGCGCTATGATCTCATGTCTACATGTCCGAGGCAGCAGTGAGTAAGTTTTCGACTCACATGGGCTCGTTTGCTCTCCGCCTGCAAAGTCAATTGCATTCGGGGCTGATGATCGACGCCGGCTGCCGGGTGCACCTGGCCTGCAATCATGGTTCCGCTGTCGATCGCTCAGCGATCGCAACCGTCACATCAATGTGTACTTGAATTGCCTGCCTAGGGCCGAAAATTTGAGATCTGCTGGGATGTGAGTTTTATTAGGATCAGCGATGGTTTGAGCCAGTGGACAAGACATTCATCGCGTACCTAGCAACCGTCTTCTTTGGGGAGAACTCCTGTGGCGGACGATTCCACGAGTCACGATTCACGATATGTTGCAGCTCCTTGTGCTGAGTCGCATGTATGCGGCTCACTATATGGATTAGGATCAAAGATTCTGTTAACATGACATAAAGGGCGGCCAGCGCTGCTGCGAAAACACCCGTAGAAGCAGCAACCGAGAAGGATGGTTCCTTCATCGCAGGAACGCTGCAATAGACGCCATGTTCCATTCAGAAACACCGAAGTACATGCACCGGAAAGAGTAGAACCGCTTCATACGGATTTGAACTAGGATTTCATCCGCATTGGGGGGCCAGAAGCATTCATTACGATGAAGAAAGGAGGCTATTGTCTTATCCCTCAACTCCTATCCTCAACTCCTATCCTCAACTCCTATCCTCAAATCCAGCCATGGATTCACGTGTTCGGAAGCGAGCCGATCCCGTAGTGCAATTGGCCCCCAAGCGCCCCAGCGTCTTGTTTCTCCCACTCCGTCCCTGAATCCTTCGCCCTACAGCTGACGGTCTTGGCACCTCGCTTGCATCCCAGTCGCATACTGATCGTATACTGATTGGGCATATCTCGCCCCCTACCTAGGCTCCATGTGGACCATGACCGTCGATCCTTCGCGATCAGGGTCCTAACGGTCTGTTCGAAACGATCGAACTCGGCCATGTTTGTCTCTCTTTATCGCATGATGGAGCGGAAGTGCAGATCGGGACCTCGACCCGGTGACAGGTCATTGACCCCTCAATTGGCTTTTTTTGGCAGCCAGTAACATGCCATTCACGGCTGCTCTCCTCTCCTGGCTGTCGAGATCTCATGTATTCTGCTCTCTGGTGGTGTCACCATCAGACGATGTGCACAAGCTGAGTGCTGCACAAATAAGCCGGTGGTGGAACAGTGCCCAAGATCCGCAGGTTTGCAGGTAACGTATACTCTAACCCGACTTGGTGCTTTGTTGGAGACCAGTTCGCTCCGAGCTTCGTTGGGGCCAAAAGCCCATGGGCAAGAAGGGCTCTGACAGCCACGCGAAGATCTACTGAATCCTGCTGGCACGGGTTGACGCTTCTATACTCGTATAAAGGCGGCCAGACTTCCAGGCTGTTCACATCTATCACCATCACCATCTCATTCTACAGAATCACCGGCAACCAGAACACTTCCACACTGATCTAATCTGCATTTCCGCAATGGCAATCCAAAGCACGCTTGGTTTGGCTGTCCTGGGCCTGTCTGCCTCGGCCGTGGCCCAGACTGTCGATGGCTCCAAGTACAACTCGCCCACTGGTGGCCCACCGTCTAGCTACTTTGCAGGGGCCTCATCCATTCCAGTTTCTGCGATTCAGTCGGCTGCCGCTAAGGCAAGTGATGTGCCGTCGTTGGCCACCTACCCAGTCAACACCGACAAGAACTCCCCTAAATCAACCATTCATAATGACTGGGTCAAATTCAGCGATGTATGTTCCCGGGCCACAGCTCAGAAGATCTGTGCTAACCGCAGTAGGGAGCGGCCCTAAGCTGGGTCGCTGACATGGATGTGGACTGTGACGGAATTGACTACAAGTGCTCGGTAAGTCCTTACTGTTCTTTCTATCTTTCTCTCGCGAACAGTATTGACTTCCAGCTTTATTAGGGCAACGGGGATGGCCAGCCGCAGACCAACTGGGGAGCGCTCGCCGCCTACGAAGTTCCCTTCATTGTCATCCCCGACAAGTTCCTGACCGCCAACACTGACCTTCTCCCTGGGAACAACGTCGCTGCTGTGATCTGGTAAGCTCCTCAGGACATATACGCAGAGAGAAGCTGACGACCGCAGTAACGGCAAAATGTACTACGGCATCTTGGGTGATTCCAACGGCGACGACCCCGAAGTCACCGGAGAAGCCTCCTGGCTGATGGCCCGGACCTGTTTTCCCGACGAAGGCTTGAGTGGCGACAAGGGCCACACAGCTGCCGATGTGACCTGTACGTGATCTTCTCTTCTCTGCTCCCCGATATCCATTTACAGACCTAACGATGGCAGATATCGTCTTCACCGGCAAGGACGCCGTCCTCCCCAGCAGCGCCCTGGGCAAAAACTACATCACCAACTTCACCACCCTCCGGTCCATGGGCGATAAACTGATGGGCGCATTGGCCTCCAAACTGGGCTTGGGCGGCGCCGCTCCCAGTGAAGGGCCGACTTCCTCGGCTGCGGCGACAACCTTTACGAAGACTACCTCCACAACAACCAGTGCTGCAAGTCCGACGGAAACAGACGAGGACGAGTGTTCGTGGTCGGGTCACTGTGAAGGTAAGTCCACTGTCTCCACTGGGGGTCATTGAACTAACGGCTTAGGTGCCACTTGTTCCTCTGATGATGATTGTTCTGATGACTTGGTGTGCGATAGTGGGAGCTGCAGCGCTGAGTAGAGGGGGTGATGTAGTTCCAGGGGGTTAAGGAAAATCGGACCACACCATTTATGTAATATGTAGCTCTCGCAGGATGTCACTGGAGTTTTGTTCTGAAATTACATCATTATCATCTTTTCCGCTGAGTATACATCCCACATAGTCGCAGTGCCAAGCAACAGCGGCAATTGGCAACTACTGATACTTCGTGCGGCCAACCATGTCAAGCATGAGGTTCACTTCTTGGAGTCCGCACCACATATTTGAATCATGCAAGAGCAAACAAGCTGTATCAAGCAGCCGCATCCAGAACAGCCTGACTGCGCCAATCCACCAGAACATCATCCGCATCCGCATCCCCATCCGCATCCTCCACAACATACCAATTCCGCACCACGGCCGTCCCATCCACCACCGTCTTCCAGACCTCCGGCTCACAAGTCCCCGGATACAGAATATAGCACCTGGCCTTCGGCACCGGCTGCCGCTCATTCTTGATACTCCAGGTATCCCGCAGCCCGACCGTGCGAAAGTCATCCGTCACCTGCACCAACCCGGACGGGATATCCCGATCAAAGGTCGCTCGATTAAAGATCTCCAGCGACGCCAGCGGCTGATAAGAAGGCACCTCGTGACCGGCCTGATATACCCGGGTGAAACTGAAGTTACCCAGCTGTCTCGTCATGCCCTTCACGCCCTCCGAGGTGAGGAGAGGGGTGTACCCGGCGGCGGCGAAGTCCTCGGCGCGGGAGTAGGGCACCGCCAGGCTGGCCGCTTCGCCTCCGAGCCAGTTGCAGGCGAAGTCGCGGTCGCCGTACATCATGTGCACTTTCACGCCGCTGTCGAGCAGGTAGGCGATCGCGTCGAGGAAGCCGCCGTGGTCGATTTCGATGGTGCCGACGAAAGCGTCGCTCACGGCGGGCGAGGCCCCGGTGAAATTGACGGGAACGCCCAGAGCGGAGAGAACGGATTCTTGGGTGAGGTAGCCCAGCCATGCTGCATTGGCATCAGTACGAGGTGCACAACACTGGTCCAAGGGGGCTCACATTTGGGGGGAGATGGATCATGCTTGGGATGTGTAATGTCGTACCAGGAATGCTGGTTCCTGCTATCAGCTGTATTGTCACCATTGTGAGGAGAGAAACTCACGTTTAATTCCCTCTCATATAGCTGAGGCGCGCCCCCTGCGCAACCCTGCTCGATCCCCTCACAAATAGAAGGGATATTCGGCGACGGGACAATGCCCGCATCGCGATCCCTCAAGGCCGCCTGACACTTGACCAACCGATCGTGACAGCCCCCAGGACGCTCCCAATGATCTAAGAGCGCTTCGTAAGTCGACTGATTGAAGATCTCGATCCCGTACGTCTGCACCTCATCAATCAGCACCGACCACCTCAACCCAGCACCCACCCCAGCAACAGACCTACATTATTGTACCCAAGGTGGATATACGACTCCCCCTGCACCAACGAATCCACCAACCCATTCACAATTCCCAACGTATCCAAGTGCAAATACCGTGCCCCAGGCTCCGCCACCCCGTTCGCGACCCGCTCATTCTGCTCCTGAAAGAACCGAAAGAACCCGGGCCCATAGTGACCGCCGTAACTCTCGGCCCACAGACTGATACGATCATCGCGCGGCCGGTACTGCGGAAACTCGAAGAACCAGGTCTGTACGAACTGCCACAGCGCCGGCGCCGCATGCGCCGTCGTATCCGCAGTGGCGTTCACTTGCTGGCTGGCAAAGGTGCCCACCAGATGGGTGAGGTTCGACTCCGGGATTTCAGTCGTAAAATTTCCGGGTAGGATGTTGCCCCCTTCCCCGTTGGCGTTGGCGAAGATGGTCCCGTTGGTCGGCACGTCGTACGAGAACCCGACCTGCACCGGCTGGTCGAGGAAGAGGAGGTTGACCTCGTTGTTCCAGCTGTAGGGGTTGAGGATGGTCGTTTGCGCGTCTTCGGCGACGGTGCATGGCCCTAGTTCCTCGAAGAGGCCCATCAGGGAGGAGCCGCCGGGGCCGCCGTTCAGCCAGATGGCTAGTGGGGCATTCTCGGGGTCTTTGCGGGATTCGAAGAACCAAAAAAACCTGGATTTTCAGATCGTTAGGAAGTCATTGGAGTAATGCTTGGGGAGATCGTACGTGTTGATCGGGTAGTCTTGCGGCCCACTGTCACTTTCGTTCAGAAGCCCCGGGGGCAGGTGGACGTAGCCAGAGTAGGAGCGGACACCGGGGGTGGTTTCGCAGATTCCGGGCTGTTTGACGGGGTCAGGAACCGTGGAATTTCAAGATCGGAGGGAATAATACCTCCTTGTATGAGATGCTCACGCTCTCGTGGAGCTTAGATTGAATCACTGTCACCCCTTCGAGCTTGGGAGGGAATTGCGCGCTGGCCAGACCCAGGAGACTGGTGATGGCTAGAGTGGTCAGTACGACCATGCTGCGAGACGCTCTTTTTGTACGTTGAACGAAAATGAGAAAGGAAAAGTGAAAATACCCTTGAGCTGATCGGAAGCGCGGATTAAGAATAGCTTGGTGCTCCGCCAACGCAGCAGCCTAGATGCAGTGGATGAGTCGACAGTAAGCCCTAGCTGAAGGCGCCATTCGGAACTCCGCCGGCGTGAGAGATACCTTCCACAGGGGTCTGATTGGCGGCTGATAGGCTGGCTCGTGCACTTCTACCTTGCCTGGGTAAGCCAAAAGGCTTGGCCAATAAGCGAGAAACTTCGATATCCAAATGCTGAGCTAACGGTCGATCAAGAATTGAGGCACCTGGTTCCGATAGCGGATGTCATGCATTGACACGGCGATGACTGCGGCACTTTGAGCGATCCCGATCGGAGGAGCATCTCAGGGTCCATGATAAGCATCCAGGACCCACTTTTAGAGAAATCCAGGGTCGAAAAGATAGTGCAGGCTTGAGAAGAACGGATATTCTGTTGTGCTCGTTGCATAGTTGAGATCGACAACGAGTCAAGACAGTGGTTTAGCTCCGGCTATTACAGACTTCATGGCCAGGCTTGAGTAAATCTCGAGCTACATTCGATACTATCTCCTCACAACGCCCGTAACCTATTTAGAGATGGTGTAGCTACGGCTTACATTATGCTGGAGTTGGCTGGCTGGAAAAAATACCCGAAGTATTGCCATCCCGTCAGTCTGATGTCAACAGGCGGAAGTTGCGTATAAACAGATCTCGGAACCCCAGATCCTACCAAGCACGATCGAATGACGACCGGTTCACCCTAGATAAAAGTACACACTCAACGCCATGACCACTGTTCATCATCCTTTATCAAGCCTCGGGCCCCTCCACCCGGCTCAAGCACCCGCCATCACCCCCGCAGCCCCCATCGCCGAGCGCATCCGCATCACCGTCCACGATCCGCACGACCATGAAGCCCCCGCCATCCTGCACCGGCCACGTAGTTACAACGCCCGCGAAGTCCGTGGGGCCGCTGTGATTCTCATCAGCGGAGCAGGCGGCGGCGTGAGCGGTCCATCAGGTAATCGCCCTCTCCGTCACCAGTTCCTTCCATGACTGGACTGCGAATAACATCAGGGAAGGGATCTACCCCTCCCTTGCCGACAAACTCACCCTCCACCTTTCCATCCCTGTGATGCGCCTCGACTACCGCGAGCCCGCTCGCACCCGCTACTGCACCGCCGATGTTCTCGCAGCAATGGACTATCTCACCCAGCAGTATCAATCCACTCGCTTCGTCCTGGTGGGATGGTCCTTCGGCGGCAGTCCGTGCTTCACCGTCGCCGCACGGGAGCCCGAGCGCGTAGTCGGAGTGGCGACGGTCGCATCACAGACGGCCATGACCTCAGGAATATCGAAGCTCAGTCCCCGGCCGCTCTTGCTGCTACACGGGACCGGAGATACCGTGCTTTCGGTCAGGTGTTCGGTGGCGCTGTATGGGCAGTATGGCTCGGAGGGAGGCAGTCGAGAGCTGAAGACCTTTCCTGGGGATGACCATGGATTGAGTCAGAATGCGGAAGAGGCGGAGCGGTGGATCCTCATGTTTGCGGGGAGGGCGTTGGGGTTTCAGGAAAGGTTGAGGGGAGTCGGTGGTGGAGATGGAGGACTGGGGAAGAGTTGGGCCGGGGGGTGGGAGGAGAGGTTGCATTCGATGCAGGAGGGGAGAGATCTGGAGAACGGGGAGGCTGTAAATTATTAGAGCGTTAGATGAACAGGTAGACAGATTGCTTACAGATGACGTAGGGAAGTGGAAGTACTGACGAAAATGAAGATGTCAATTTTCTACATGGTGAATCACATCGCCTCTCCTACCATCCGGTGAATAGACTGCCAGTGAATTTCGCAAACCTCACGTCTATAACTATCCCAGGATATCTTCATAGTCCGTCCTCGCCTCAACTCCAACTCTCTCGAACTCATCTTCTTTCCATCAGACCCGTCAGCCATCAGATCGCGGTATTCTTTCTCCCTTCTGAATTCTCTGCTTCTCTGCTGATCATACATCATCTGATAGTTGATACTACACATATCCACAACTCCCATCATCTCGCAATGTTCACTCTTGATACTGACGAGGACCCCTCGTGGGTAACCGACCTGGAGGCTGCTCTGCAAGACGATCCAGTGACCGACGACGACGAGAAGAAGAACGGCTCCCAGTCCCCACAAGCCATTCTCCAGCAAGTGATGACAACTAGCCCGGGTACTTCGCTTCCATCGTCTATCTCAGGATATCAGCCCAGCGTCGGCCAGCCATATCGTGAAATCGGATCCAGTGCCAACAGCAAAGTATTTGAGCAGCCCGGTACCCCGTGGGCGTTCAAGATCCTCCTTGTCGACGAGGCCCTAACGCTATGGAACAACTACACTATGCAAATGAGGGTTTACAACAGTTTTGATGGGGTTGACAAGTTCGTCAAAACGGCTGTCGCAGTCCCTCGGGCAGTCTGGTTTGCAAACAAAACCTCGGAGTTCTGGCGCACAGATTTGGAGCTCTTCCCCGATGATCCTCGATTTCCACGCCAGCCGCGCAATGTTCTCTGTATGGAACGCATCCCTCCTCTCCCTCAGGCGGTTCGTGACGCGCTGGTTGACCTCTTCTGCGACCGCTGGAGCATTTCGGCTGCTAAAAGCGACCCGTCCAATGCCGACTGTCTGGTGCATGTCCTCTTGGGCAGCAAACATGATACTGCAGCGCACCCCGGATCCTACTTGTTCAGACTTCGCAACTTCAAACTTCACAGTGATCAGATTGAACAACTCCGTCTTGACGCGTCCGCCCTGGCCGCCACAATGGCAGATGCCCTCGCGCTTCTTCACTGGCAGGCGAAGGTTGATGGCATGGGTGTCGAGTTCGTCCTCGGAAGCGCCCGTCCTACAAAAGACCACACCTCCATCCCAGGCCACTTGCATCTTCCAGGATTGCACCGTCTATCGCCGGGTACCAGTACCTTCGAGCTGGTAGTCAATCCATCCATGCACATTCCGCACACCGTCAGCCTGTGGCTATTAGGCTTCGATACTTGCCACCCAATCAGCATGAGCGCCATCGGGGTCGAGCAGGCAATTACCGCTTTCCTCAAAGACCCCCTGCACTTTCCCCGACCCTTCTCGAACAATTGGTTCATCGATAGCCTGTGGACTGTCTTTGCCTGTCGCTATATTGAGACTGCAGAGAGGTTTACTCTGGGGACTCCAGCACAGTCGCTTCCGCGCTCTTTCATCAGAGGCGTACAGATCAGGCTGTTGCCAAAGTGAAGCAATATGCGGCGGCAATTCCGGGGTTGCGTCTTTGGATCTAAGTCATAACATGGCGAGGCATTTTGCTTTACGACAGTTTCTGGCTCATCATTATGATATCTTGGCAATCTTCTAGGTGGTTAGACGTGTTTACTTTGTCAAGGGGGAGACGTCGTGTATCCTGTATTTCGACTTGCTTGCTTACCATTGTGAAACTGAAAGTGAATCAACACTGGCAATTGTTACTCAGGTTCCACATTTGGACCATTAGGATATTTGCTAGTATGGCGACCAGTGTATACGCTCCCCTTTTGCTAAAGTCAGTAGAGAATGAATTCTCCGTACTATCGAATTGCTGCATATGCTTTATCCGAGGTAATTGACGCATGACTCAACGTATCCGAAGTGTAGATCGGCTTGTTCATCCGGCTGAATGCCCTGGTGCCTGAGGCTTTCCGCGGAGATGGACGGTGCACGGACCACTCCTCCTCTTGGCTGCCGTGTTGGGAATAGTGGCAGATGGCGTAGGGCTGCCCTTACGTAACTGGAAGCTTCAGTCTTTTCTCTTTCAGGTCAACCGGAGGAGAACCTTCTTCGTGTTCGATGGCGATGAATTCCTTCTGCGAGTGACCTGCTCGGATAGACTTGGTATCCTCGGGCATCGGAATACGGAATTTGCGAGTCGAGTAGGGTGCAAGGCGTGTTCTAGAAGAGCATCGATCCGACTCCACATTCGCACTATTTAAATGTCTCGCCTCCCACTTTAATCTTTAACACCAAGCATTCACCTCAAGTCTGAACACCGTTTCCATTACTCAATCGGCATCCACAAGAACCGGTCAAGCTTCCTTGGCATCTTCAACTCTCAATGCATGGTGGAGGCTCCTCATCCCCTGCAAATGCAGATGAATTGATAGCCGGTCAGTCGCCACCCCGTACCATTGCCAACACGCAGTCATCTAACCCAACGCAGGGTTCGCAGAAACAGTCGATGAGCTCGTCATTGTCGACTGGGAGGGTCCAGACGACCCAGAAAACCCGTTCAACTGGTCTAAGCTCCACAAATGGCTGGTGACCTTCGTCGCCCTGTTCACCACCTTCCTCGTGCTCGCCAATGGCACCATCATCACCGTCGCCCACTATGAGCTGGACGAGCGTTTCAATGTCAGCGAGGCCTCATTTGCCAACTCCTACTGGCCCGTTACCACCTGGGCTCTGGGGGGTGCCTTCTTCTCGTTGATCATCCTCCCGACGATGGAGGACTTCGGCATCCGCCGCACCTTCCTCCTCACGCATTTTGTTTTCATCCTTTTCCTGATCCCGCAAGCTGTAGCCCAGAACTTTGCCACTCTGGTCGTCACGCGCTTCTTCGCCGGAGGCTGTGTCGCCGTACTGGGCAACAGCGCCGCGAGCGTGATCGGCAACATCTGGGGCAGCGAGCGCGAACGCACTAAACCGGTCAGCCTGTGGATCGTCGCCTACCTGGGCGGCAGCAGCATCGGGCCCGTGCTGGGGGCGTCCATCCTCCAATTCCTCTCCTGGCGCTGGATCTCCTACATGCAACTTATCTGGCACGGGATCTTGTTCCCCGTGGCCGTCGTAACGATGCGGGAGTCCCGTGACCTGGTGATCCTGAAGCAGCGAGCCAAGCGACTGCGTGCGAAAGGTGTTAACGCCTACACCCGACACGAGATCCTGTCCAAGCCGCTCCTTGAGGTGTTGGCGACCAGCATTCAGCGTCCGCTCAAGATGCTCGTCACCGAGTACGTGGTGTTCTTCTGCATGCTGTGGTCATCGTTCACCGTGGGCACGCTGTACCTCTTCACCCAATCGGTCGAGCAAGTCTTCGATGCTCTGTACGGCTGGGACCCCGTGCAGTCGGGATATGTTCAGGGCGCCATTGTCATCGGCCAAGTCCTGGGATGGCCGTTGACTCTCGTCTCCGCTAGACTCTATTTCCAGTCCGCGAAACGCAACACCCAGATCCCGGGGACACCCATTCCCGAAGCACGCTTATACATGTCCGTCGCTGGAGCCATCCTCGGCCTCACTGGCGGGATGTTTGTCTACGCGTGGACCTCCTACCCCAGTCTCCCATGGATCGCTCCCACCATCGGCCTGGGTATGGTTGGCGCCGGCAGCGTGGTCGTGGTGACGGGGATTATGGATTACGTGGTGGATGCGTACAGCAATTACGCTGGCAGCGCGATGGCGTGTGTCGTGCTGGGGGAGAACACCTTCTCGGCTTTTCTGCCTTTGGCGACGATGAACATGTATGAGACCATGGGGTTACAGTGGGCGAGTAGCTTGTTAGGGTTTATTAGTCTGTTGCTGACGCTGGCGCCGGTGTGCATTATGATCTGGGGGGAGAAGATCCGCGAGCGCAGTCCGTTTATGAAGGAGGCGACGGTGCGGAAGGTGGCGGAATTGCATGAGGCAGAGGAAGGGGAGGATAAATGTTGATTGTCATGAGGCATGATTAGATGAGACTAGACTTTTAGCAATGATTAATGCATCGCTCAAATCACACAAGGGACAACACTACATCTTTACTTTCTTGGTGCCTCAGTGGCGGTTTATCCTCGAATACGTTATTGGATTTTTATGACATGCAATTCTCCGCAAGACGATTAATAAACTGATAGGTCGATATGATTAACCTACATAAGCAACCCCCGTAATGGCCCCCCCAATATCAGGCAAGACCGTTGATTTACAGGACCCATCCAGATTGGCACAATATAACGACCCTCCCAAGTCACCGAAGAACATCCGCTGGTTCTCCACATCCAATGCGATCCCAATGCCCTCATGAAGCTTGCGCACCAAGATCTTTGGCTGTACTTTCTCTCTCGAACCAGCAAGATCAGCCAGCACGGTCGCATTAACCGTATTCCCCCGAGGCGGATCCCCTCGATCCGTCCAGTACAGCGTCCCTGTCGCATGATCCAGCTCCAGGTCAATCGGCTCCGGAAGTCCCTCTAGCAGACTTTCCACATCTGTCCTGCGCTCCACTGACTCCCCCTGTTTCCTCTCAATCCCCATCCGGAAGATCCGGCCCTGGTTCCCCTTGGATGGGCCCTTCTGCGTCCAGTACACCCATCCGGCCTCCTCATCCACCGCAATACCTACACACCAGTCATATACAGCAGGCGTATCCGTGCCCTCGCTGGAGACCGCACGATAGAGCACTTCGATGTCACTCCCATCGAGGTTCGCCCGCATCACCCGCCTGCCCTCGCGATCGGCCCAATACAGCTTCTGGGCCCGCGGGGCGATGGTCAGCTGTTTTGGCGTGTGGGTGTGGCCCTTTGGAACGACGGTCACGATATTATGCCCCGAGAGGTCGCAGCGCTGAATGGATCCGTCATCGGCGGAGGGGACGCCCATGTTCGTCCAATAGATGTGATGCCGGGCAGCGTCGATGGCGATCCCATCCGGCATGGTGTTGATCTGCGTGATGAGCTCCTGAAAATCGGAGCCATCTGGTTTGCAGGTTAGGATGCGGCCATTGAGTTCTGAGTTCGAGATGCCCACGTCGAGGAAGAAGAGTCGGGGGTTGGATGATCTGGGGAGGAGGGGTCTTGGTGCCATTTTTATATTGCGGGAGGGTGGATGTAGAGTTGAGAATCGACAAAGACACATTGGGACAGTTCTGCGCCGGGCTTCACGACGGGTAGATATACTACTTTGCAGATATAGAGAAGGTCCACTGGGCCACGGTATGCCGAGAGTTCCTTGTTCCACCTTGTCCACGGTTCCTTGATTTGCCTGATTATGGTACATGAGTATGCTATACTCGGAATGCCAAAAAGGGAACGGAACGGATCATGACATAATCACACGGGATGCTCCGGCCAACTCCGAGCTACGCGAGCAAATCTCGGGATGGACGTTCTTTCCTACCTTTTTCAACCTCTTCCGTGAATCATGGATAATTCCTCAAAATGATGTTCTCATTCCACACACGCCGGCCGTCTCCACACGACGAGCCGTCCAGAGGTCCCAGACCCAAACGAGCCAAGATCAGAAATGCCTGTGAGGTCTGCAAGATCCGGAAGACGAAATGTGATGGTGCTAAACCAGGTAAGGAAACATTCCAGATACTCACTCTGGTCGCACAGTGGAGAAGATCAGTCAGCTCACCGCATCCCGGCATTAATCCCTGCATTACTAGTAGTCTGTGGACCCTGCTCCAACCGGAAACGCCTTTCGCGTGCCACTCGAATGGCCTGCAGCTATCGGGAGTCTGATTCCGCGGAGCATGCAGGATATACCACCGAGCAGTTCCCCCGCGGTCATCCACAGCCCGACCATGCCGACCGGGCGAGCTCGTTCAGTACAATTGTTCCCAGCGGGAGTCTCTTTGGTGCCTCCAGTGGGGTGCACATCATCCCCGATGTGGGGAATCAGACCAGTATAGCCACTCCAGGCAACAAAACACCAAGCAGAAGTCAAGCTTTCCCGAATGCACTCAGGCATCTACCCAAGCTGCAGAAGAAATTCCCTCGAAACGAACGTTATGGTTCTGATTTCCAGTTCGTCATCCCTCCCAGGAGGCAGGCGGACAACCTACTGGGTCTCTACTGGGACTATGTCGACAGTGCCTACCCGTGGTTGGATAGAACATCCATCGAAAGTGCTTATGAGACTCTATGGATCCAAGATGGAGAACTGACGATGAATGAGACGGTTCTGCATTGTCTGCTGAATCTCATGTTCGCCACCTCCTGTGTAGCCACCCAGGGTGAACCACCACTCGTTCGCTATGAATCTTCCGTCGTCTTCTTTGAGCGCGCCCAGGCGTTGATGTCGTACCAACTACTCGACCTCTATAATTTTGAGATCATCCAGATTTTACTCCTTACCGCCGTCTATCTGCAGCACGACAAAGAGCCCCAGAAATGTTTCCGCATCATCGGGACGGCGATTCATATCGCCCAGGAACTGGGGCTGCACATCCCGGAAACCACTGAGGCTATGGACAATCCCAAGGAGCGAGACCTTGCGCGTCAGGTGTGGAATGGGTGTGTCATCATGGACAGGTATGATAAACCACCTTGACACGGGACTTTGTAGCTGAACGCGTCCTAGAATCTGTTCCATGACCTTTGGCTGCGCCCTCAAGGTCCCTCAATCAGTGGCAAAAGAAGGCTTGAATCTGCTGGTGTCCAACGCCGTAGAGCACTCGTCGGACAGCGTGACCGCCACCCTACCATCGAAAGTCAACTTCTATCGATCATTCTGTCGACTTCATCACATCATCGGAGATGTCATTGACACCTTCTACAAATTCGGCGAGAGCAAAACGGATCGCCATGCGAGCAAGCTTCGTCTGGAGACGCCGAGCGACTCATCCTCACTCGTGTTTGACAAATTCGCTAGCTTGTTTCGAATCGACTCCGCACTTAATGATTGGGCCCGCAGCCTGCATCCTTTCTTCCAGATGCCATCGGAACTCCAAGACCCGACGCCCACGAAACATATTACGCGTGAAGCGAATATATTACGTGCACGGTATATGCTGGCCATATTCAATGCAAGGGAAAAAGGAATTGCACTGACTCTCTTGCATTCCAATGTACTAGGTATCTCTCCATTCGACTGCTCCTGTTCAGGCTTCTACTTCTGCAAATCCACCAAGGAAGGACCGAGAATGCCCGAGGGATCGGTCTATATGCCGACGATGATCAGATCATGCCGCATGTAGTCCTCCAGTGTCAGATTAATTGCACCAAAGCCGCTGCCGACATGATTGAATTCATTATCCGCAACTCACCGGAGCAGAAACAAGCGTACATCTTGCCATCCAACTGGTACACTGTTTCATGTGAGTTCGGATTCCCGAAGAAAGCCCAGCGTTGAGCAACCTAACAGAAAGCTCAGATGTATACATGGCCGTCACGAATTTGCTCGCTGCCCAGACCTCGCCACAAATAGCACAATACTTCACGGCCGCTCGTCTGCAAGGCCTCTTGCACGAGGCTCGACGCATTCTCAAGGATTATGAAAAGCATGCCACCTTGACTTCGCGATGCAACTCAGTCCTTGCCTTGATTGAGCAGAATGTTGGTGGGCGCGAGCCGAGAGTCGACTACACCCCTTCGGAGGCGGTGCAGGCTAGCAGCAACCCTCTCAACACATCCGCCCCATATCTAGCCATCGACACACAAGTGCCTCCAGCTAATCTCTCGAGTAACCTAGCCATGATGGACAACTACTCGTTCGACTGGAACGAATGGCCCATGTTCTTTTCTCAACTGGATGATGATACACCTACAGCCCAGGGCTGGGCAATATAGAGTCACAATCTCATTAAGTCACGAACATCTAAGGTCACTAATTATCCAACACAAGTCTTTGCTTGTTACTGGTCTTCTCGCGCATTCAAAAAGGGTTCGTTATCTAGGAAGAAAATCTATATACAAAAAGAATGTCACAACATCTTCAGGCGAATTAATCATTTGCCACTCTTCTGGTCACAAACCGTCTGGCGCCCGCGATCACATGCTGCACAGCGCAAGGGCCTCAAAGCCACTGAATGTTCCGATCGTGGTAGCAGTGAGGGACTGCAGGTGTCAACCACCGAGGCGTCACCTTGGGGTCACTCAACTGGACGACAGGCTTCAAAGTCTCCATGCGGCCCCATGGACCCCCCTCAAAGCTGGTAAGGAGTGATTCTGGGCCCGGGCTGAAGTACTGGGGGAATACATTCTTCCAGCCGTCCATCACGACAAGCAGAATCTCCGTCACGAACTGCGAGGGCCCGATGTGGCCCCACTTGAACAGCTGGTTGCTGCGCTCTACCACCTCAGGAGAGTATAGCCCGACCTCCGGCTCCAGGTTGATGACGTCTGCCTTGACCAACGAGCTCGTCACCCGGTAGGAGCCGCCGTGACGGGCCCGGTCCCGTAGCGCCATGAGGGCACCCAACGCACCCACCAATCCAGTGGTCATGTCGGAGATGGGCAGCGGGGGGAGAACGCTGGTTCCATCCTTGAAACCCAGAGAGCGACCCATGACGTACGACGAGCCGGAAGCCGCGTCTCCGATCTGCTGCCAGCCCGGTCTCTCGTTGTATGGGCCGTCGGGACCGTAGCAATTCTCCTCGACGTAGACGATTCCCTTGCCGCGCTTACCGGCCATCTCGAGGAGGTCGTTGACTCCAAAGCCCTTCCTCTCGATCACCTTGGGGCGGAAGCCTTGCACGAAGACATCAGCGTCCTCGATCAGCTCGCGCAGGCGAGCCTTGTCTTCCTCCTTGGTGAGGTCAAGGTCGATGGTGCGTTTGCCCGTGTTCAACGTAAATTGCAGGACCTAAGGAGGTTTCATTAGCGCACCGCCAGTGTCAACATCGAGGGAAGGGGTGGCTTACATTAAGATCGACCAAGCGACTGCAGTTGACACGAATGACATCCGCCCCAAGCGAAGCGAGGATGTTCCCAATGACCGGTCCGGCAATGATGCGGACCAGCTCCACGACCTTGACACCCGCCAGCGGCCGCTTATC